AAAAACAGTTTGAACTGCAGTAGCGATACGGATCTCATTCTCAAATCCCGGACAGAGCGGTGTGTCCTAGTGGTTAGAGTATGGGAGGTGGACTCGGGAGGCCCAGTCATGAGCCTGTGCTCAGCCTTGAAGCTCGCTGGGTGGCCTTGGGCCAGTCCTTGACTGCCAGACATACCTACTTGGCAGGGCCGCTGGAAGGATGAGTGGAACGGAGAACGGTAAAGCAGCGTTTGTCTTGGATGTCTGACCAAACGGTTTGTCCGTTGCCCCATCAAAAAGGAGAAGGCAAAAGCCTGGAAAACACAAACCAGAAAAATACAGGCGGAGGACAAATCGTGGAGAAGGAACACATTTCCCCCCGAGGATTTTTGAGAGATGTGTACACTTCCCACCTCCGTTTCCCCCCACACGTTTTCATTTCTGCATCACACGTTGGCAAATAGCCGTGGGCCGTTTTTCAAGTAGTCGGCCTTCCTGCAAGCTTGACCAGTTTGAGCCTTGGGCTAATTTCAAGAGGAGATCGGTTTCCCTCTGCGAACGCGGAATGAACTGTCTACAGGGCAGTGCTGGGGGAGCGGTCTGTGCAGGATTTGGCTGGGGGTCTGTCGCTTCGGAGCAGCTCACGAGGCGGGCCGTCCTCTGCGGCTCCTCTCCTCCCCGGTTCCCCCGCCAGCCTGCCTTGCTGACGGGGACGCGCCATGGCAACACAAGGTTTGCATGGAAACCTGTCCAGGAATGAGTGTTCCCATCACTGGCAAAGTGATAAATCGGCCCTGCCCATCAATCGCCTTGGCGCATCAGCAGGAGCCACTTCACAGAGAGCGTTTTGGGCGGGTGCATGAAGCCGCCTGCGGCTGGCAGCCAGCTGAGGCAGCAGAGCCTGAACACGGGACACAGTTTCCCCTGGCGAAGCAGCCCCCAAGTGCCAGAGCTCCTCTGTTATGGGGTCTGAATTCCTTGAGGAAGTTAGATTATTTCTGGCACAATAGGCCATTTCCCTGGCAAAATAGTTCAGGGCAGCTCCGTTGCAGAAGTGTCGGGGCCGTGAGCTGTTACAGGAGGGCTGGCAGGGTGAGCCATGCTACGAAGAGCTAATTCTGGGCGCAAATTTTGGAGGGGGAGTGGTGCCGAAGAGTTCCGAGCTGGGACGTCCGTGGTCTTGTACCAGTGGGCCTGTGACAGAAGGGAAAGAGGTGGTGTGTCTCCGCTTCGGATGTGTCGGTAGAGTCTTTGCACAGCCGTGCCTCCGGTCTTGGGTGGCTGTTTGTGATTATGCATTCCCCTCCATTTCCTGAAAGAACTTCGAAAGGCAGCCGCAAGTGCAGGGAATCAGGTGGGGAGAAAAGCGAGCGCTTAACTGTCCCAAATACGCCTGCTGGGCGTGAGGGAGAGACGAACTTGCCACTTCCTGATTTGGTCAGCTGCTTTCCAAAAGGCCCCCAACCTGGTGGCGGAGCGCACAGCCGGCAGCGCTTTGCACAGGGAACTCGTGCTCCAGGCTTGAGGAATAACTCGGGAATGCCCCGCCTCGTCAGCTGCGGGCAGCGGCTGGTCTGGAAGCTTCTGCTTCTTCGCAAGTATGCAGAAACTGGATTCGTGGGCACTTGGCTGCAGAGCCCAGGGTCGAAGGGCCGCATCCTACTCCTAGTCTTACCCTGGATAACTAGTAAAGTCTGTGTGAGGAGGGGAGATGCCGGGAGCCCGCTGCCCTTTGCCCTCCCATGGTTGGCAGCTGGCGGGGATAAGCGAAGCCATTCCTTCCCCTGTGAGGACAAGTCTGGGGAATATTGTCTGTTGGGTGGTCTAGTAATGTGATGAATCTTGCCTGCCCGCCCAGTGGGCCAAGCTAAGCGGACGGGCTGGATGGAAGTGGAAAGGGCAGGCGTTGAATCTCAGGACCCGCAGGGACGACAGCGCACAGATGTGGGCAGCGGCCAAACGAGCGGGAGAGGTGTGGGCAGGAAGGAGAACAGGCGCATCCTGGGATGTGGCTGAATCAGGCCGTTGCTCAAGAGGGCCCTGGCCGGGTGCCAGTTCTGCTGACTGGCTGCAGCGCTGCCCTGCCCCTCCGGGACGTCTGTCGGCCTGTTCCAAGCCCTGTTGCCCCACAGGCTGTTCCAGGGAGCACACCCAAGCCTGTGGTTTGCCCCCCCTCCCCCCGGAATCCCTCCTGTTCATGAGAATGGATGTGTGCGGTTCCGCCGTGTGATTTGGCAGGCAGATGGGGCTGGCGCTCCGGCTCCGACTTCTGGGATCAGCATGTTCGCCGTGTGAAGGTCCAGTATGTGAAACAAGCTCCAACTCTCCTTGCGGTGGAGGGGGGGCGGCTTCCAGACTCTTCTGGAAGAGACTCATCCCTGGCCTAGAGAACTCCCTTGTTGCCTGGACTGACTGTTGTGTCTTTCTGTCCTGCCTGCTTCTAGTTTATTTCTTGGGCATTGACCGGGGGACTGTCTGGGCATCTGTGCACGAATCAGTATAGAAGGAGTGAAGCCAGCCTTCCCCACCCTGGGCCATCTGTTCCGTGAGGAGTGGCGGTTGGCCCTACCCACCTGCCAGCCAGGCCAGAACTCAGGTGGAACCTCTGTGGCAGGTCCCACGTTCAGTCCCTGGCATCTCACGGGGCTGGGAAAGCTCCCACCTGACACCCCGGGGCCGACTGCCGCCGGTCAGTATCAGCAGAGCCGAGCTAGGTGGCCTGGCTGTCTTACCGGGCAGCTTCCACTGTTCCCGTGTCTCGCGTTTTTGGCCGTGCCTGGAGCACAGGGTCTCCCCTTGCTAGACTGACACTGGCTGCAGGGCCAGAGGGGCCCTCGAGTCGCGCCCTGCGATCAGGCCGCCATCTTTGCTCCGCCCAAATGCTCCAGCTTTCAGGGAAGGGGCCTCGTTTGAATCGGGCTCCAGGGACTGGCATTCTCTTCTAGGCTCTGCGCTAGCAGGAATAATCCGGCGCATTCTCCACTTTTGGGAAAGGGGTGCAAGAACGCCAGCAAGCCGACCGGATGGACTTTCGGTGCTGGGCTACACCACAACGCCGTGTAATTGAGATGGTGCCCTCGGTGTCTTTGTCCCTGCCATTGAGGAAGGTTTCCTTTCAGGCGGGTGAATTTCTCCGTGCAGCTGGACAGCGCACTGAGCCGCTTGCAGCAAAGGGGGCCGCCCTGTGTGGAACTGAAGTCCAGCCAGTGCAGCCGATGGGCAGAGGGGATAGAAGGTGCCTTCCCAGTCGCTTGGGCCACAGCGTGTTCCTTACCTGGCTTTGCAATGGGTACAACGCCTCATCCGAATGGGCTGCCGTAGCCAAGTACACTCTGCCTTGGTGTGGCATCCGTTGTGAGAGGTGCGGCTGCTCTGGGCAGCTCATGGGTGACGGAGCTGCGTTTGAGGGAGCACCTCCGCCTCACATCACCTGGGCGAAGATGCGCTTTGAACCAGGCGCGTCCCGGCCACAGACACGTTTCCACTGTGGCTCTTCCTGGCAGCCCTGGACGAGTCCCAGCCAGCCAGCCAGCCAGTCAGCCAGCCAGCGTGGGTGCATTTTCTACAGCTGGGCAGCAAGAGCAGTTGCTGTCAGTCTCCAGGGAACCCGCTTACAGTCGGATCTTTGTCCTTGAAGCCGGTTCCTCCCTTCTGGCAGGCCGCACAGTTGAAACACGGACAGCTCGGGAGAGGGCAGGCCTCTGGGGAGGATCTCGGCCATGTTGCTGGATCCGATTTCTCCTGAATCACGAGGATGTCCCATGTCAGGAGCTCGGCTCTGCCCAGCAGTTTGCTCGGAGCCGGTGAGGCACTGGCACGGAGTGAGGCGCTTGTCAGCCAGGACTCCCAGATCGAGTGCACCCTTGGCAGCTTCCTAAGGTCTGGGCCAGTTGCTGCCTTGGCCAGGGAGAAGCGGCCTTCCTGGGGCAGCCCTTTGGCCGTCTTTGCACTCCCCGGCCTGCTGCAGTCCAAGACAGAGCCTCTGAAAACAGGCTCCCCTGCGTCGGTTCCGTGGGCTACACTTGGGTCTTCGAGTGGTCAAATTCCTCAGGCTGGCTTCGAATCACAGGGCTCCTTTCTCGGAAGCTGCATGGAAAAATGGCAAAATAAATCTGTTTGTTTCCCGATGTTCAGTCTTGTGCTGGCAGCAAAAGGGATCTGTCCAGGAAAGGCTGCGTAGGGATTTTGCAGCATTTTCTCCCAAGTAGCCCAAGCGCCGGCCTGCCTGTTACAGGAAAAACTCTTGGTCAAAGGTAGGCGATGCGGGGGCTCCCGGCCCCCTGCTGGGTGAACCCCACCGCCCCGCCTGCCGCTGCCACCCCCCCAACATCTGCCAGCATGGAGCCATTTTCTGTTTTGGGGTGGACTTGCCCCTCTGCTGCCTGCTGCAGAACAGTAGCCGGGCTCGGATGCAGCCGATAATGGCAGCGCATCACAAATAGATGGGAGGAGCTGCCTGTTTCTGATGGGAAACCACTGGAACGCTTTGGCTGAATAAGCAGAAATGTAGTTATGGCGCACCGTGTCCACAGACTCGTGTCTTGCTCAGCAGCTGGGCACGCCAGGCTCTGGCTTGCCCACGCTCCCCCCAGAGACCACTGGTCTCGCAGGCTGCACCACACAGTCTGTTGAAAGGAAACCCCCTCATTTCAAAACCCTCCCGATGCCTTGAAAGCTGAGAAGCGGAGAGATGGAAAGCAGACGGATTTCCCCTGTGGTTGGAGGAGGAGGATCTTAGCGGAGGTCAGAGCCCTCCTTCCTCGGCAGCAGAGTGGCACAAACGAACAGTCACGTTTGGCTCGAGCCCAGGGCCCAGGTGCAGCAGGTGGCCCTGGGGAGGCCGCGGACCTTGGGGCAGGGGCTTCGCCTTCCAGAAGTTTCCGCTTCGATCCCCATCAGCGCCAGGCAGGGCTGGGGAGAAACCCCTGCCTGAAGCCCGGAGAGCCGAAGTCTGTCTCGTGTTGACCATCCCAGGTGTGGTTTGATCCCTTTAACAAGACGTTTCTGTGCTTCTCTTTCAGGAGATGCCCAACTCTGTCTATCTGGTAATGGAGGTGTGTATTCCTCTTTGCAATTCCTCCTTGTTCGGTTGCGGGTGCGTCGTTTTGCTTTTTGTCTCGAAACGAAAGCGGCTTCCATATTTGCAGTCCTGCATCACACACCCTTTCCCCCACAGTGGGATTGTGCTGAATGTCTCTGGGAACCCAAGTCTGTGTTAATTTCAGATGAGCTAGTGAATACCCTGGACTCTGTAAATTCTGCAACACTTCCATTCCAAACACGTGATTCTTAAACAAAATATCTCCTAAATCTCTGTTGCCCTCCCAAATTAATGAAGGACGAATTAATTCTGTTACTCATCTGCTATTCTGTTTGCTCTGATTTGCTGCTTTCTTTAGCCACTTTGTGCAAACAAGCCACGATGAGAAACAGATGTGACCGCAAGGGTTATTTGGACCCACCCTGACATACATAGCATTGCCCCATGGATAGATCAGAAAATTGAGACGGGGTATCTGTGGGCAAAAGGGGCAGTTAACGGATCAGGCGAGCCTGCGGAGTGCGCCTCATCCCTTCACCAAGGGCTGTCGATCAGGCCATACCGTGTCTGTCTCTGACTCTATGGGCAAGCAGTGTGAAAATAATTCAGAAATCAAGTTGATCTGACCCTAACGCCTTTTCTCATCTGGACAGTACTGCAATGGCGGAGACCTGGCGGATTACCTGCAAGGTAATGAATTGCCATCGGCTCTTGAGTTACACTTAATTGCTGTAGAGGGCCGACTCCTTCGGTGTTTCTTTTCTGCATCGTTCCTAAAGGGGAGGGGAATAGTTCATATTTAATTTGTAAAGTTGTCAGTAAATGAAAATATGGGCTAAAATTGACCTCTGTTGCTTTTGGCCCTGCTCTCTCCATGTAGCTGTTTAAAAATAGTTTTTAAAACAGTTAATGCCAGGTGAGGGGAAACAGGCTGCGAATCTTCATGCTCAGTGGGAGAGCGAAGCCTCTAAGACAGCTGGCTTTGCTTTGATTTCCTGAGTCCTGCTCCCAAACATTTCCCAAATGATCTGCTGGAGGAGGATAAGGAATTGTGAGGAGCAGCAGCCGGACTGGGAGGAGCAGGGTTTCTGCCTCCCTGGGGACTGGGCAGAGCAAGGCCTCTCTCTCGCAAGCGGCAAGCCGAAGAAAAGTGGCTGGCGATGCAAAATGGGGAAAGAGCAGAGCGGCCTTCCCCAGCCCCGAGCCCGTGAAACTTTGGGCTGCACTTCCCAGCAGCCTCCCAGACCGCTGGCTAGATGGGGATTGCAGCCTGACGCACCCAGAGGGTACTGGGCTGGGGACTGCTGCCCGGGGGGCGGGCGGGCGGAGGAGAGCAGGCGCTGGGCGCTCGCTGGGGCTCAGCGTGCTCGGCCCGCGGTGCTCAGCAGGGCCTCTTCTCCCCGCAGCCAAAGGCACGCTCAGCGAGGACACCATCCGGGTGTTCCTGCAGCAGATCGCGGCGGCCATGCGCGTCCTCCACAGCAAGGGCATCATCCACAGGGACCTCAAGCCGCAGAACATCCTGCTGTCGTACGCCAGCCGGCGGAAGGCCAGCCTGAGCGGGGCGCGCATCAAGATAGGCGAGTCAGGGCTTGCTGGGGCCTCGGCTTTCGCCCTCCCGGCTTGGCGCCGCCGAGGGGTCGGTGTTTTTAGGGCTGTGCCTGGAGCCTCGTGCGGCTTGAGCGTCACTCCGGCTCCTCGGGCGGCTTCTTGTGGAAGATGTGGCCCTGAGGGCAAACCTCGCCCAGCGTTTTGGGAAGCTCGGCCGGCCTGGTGCCTGTGGGTGGATCAGGCTGCAGCTTTCAGCATGCTGGGGACTGTAGTCCCGCACACTGGTGGGGCACCAGGTGGGCAGGTCTGGCCGAGACTGTTCTGAGCGTGCCTCCAAAAATGCACAGAGTGTGGGTGAGATCGGCATGCGCGTGCTGCAGGTGTGCTTGGCTGCAGCCTCGGCCCAGTGAGTTTTACGACCGCAGCGTCCACAGATGTTTTTCTTTCCCTGGGCAGGCCCTTCCGTCATCCTTGCCCGGGAATTTCTGCTCAGCTGCTGGCTGGGGCCCAGTTCCACCTCCATCAGCACCCAGCCGATGCTGTGGTCAGGGGAGGCGGGTTGTGGGGGGAGCCTCTGCCTTGGGAGGCCCCATTGGAGTGGCATTCTCCCTGTACCCGTCGTCTTGCCGCATCAGGGGCCGGCAAGGTGGGCCGCGACAAACCTGCCCCTCGCGCTCTCCTCCTGGCGGGCAATGAGGGGATCGACGCTGTGCTCCTCTCCCAACAGCTGACTTTGGGTTCGCTCGCTACCTCCAGAGCAACATGATGGCAGCCACGCTGTGCGGATCCCCCATGTACATGGTGAGTGGCGGCACCGCCAGCTCTTCCCACAGCCGTGGGATGTCAGATGCGGAGCGTTAATGGTGGTCCTCCAGTGTGACCTGTGAAACGGGAAGTGGAGCCTTCGACTTCAGAGCTGCGGCACCTCCCGGGGGCCGGCGGGGTGATTTGGCCAGGAATGGCTTTGCTGTGAGCAGAGCGCACGCTTCCCCAGCCAGGGACTGGCCAAACACCTTGGGATCAGACTCCCACGGTCCCCAAGAACTGGGGGTGCGGGCTGGAGTGGAAGCAAAGTGGCCTCCACAACTCACAGGGTGCCTCGGCTGGCGAAGGCCGACAGGCAGGGCAGGGCCCTCCGAGCCGCTTGGGATGTTCCGTGGCCTGTGCCACAAGGACCGAGGAGCGATTCCGGGTGTCCTCGGCCGTCGTGTGGGGTCCTGCGAGCAGGGCAGCGCGGGTCTGTGTGAACTGGCCCACTGTGCGCATCAGGCCTGTGTGTTCCCCCAGGCTCCCGAGGTGATCATGTCACAGCACTACGATGCGAAAGCCGACCTGTGGAGCATTGGAACGGTGATCTACCAGTGTCTGGTTGGGAAGCCGCCTTTTCAGGTAGGGCCAGCGTAGCTCAACCTGTCATCCTGCCCTTAGAGGGGGCAGAGCGTGGGATTGCGCATTTCTCTGCCCCCCCTCTTTCACACGATGCACCCTCTGCCTTAAAGGGCACCCTTTTAAGGGCACGATTCACCCTCCCTCTATTTCCAGGCACTTGAGAGCACACCATGCATTTCTTAATGGGTCTTCAACTGGTGACTGTTTCAAATGCTTTTGTATTTTACTATGTGAACAGTTTTATATGATATTGTTTGGACTGGACTGCCCGCCCTTCCATGTCAGGAGTGGTACCTTAGAGAGCGGGAAACAAGGGTACTTTGGAAGGAGAGGAGACTGGAGAGGCCGGGGCATGAGCAGCCCTGGGCTGCTTCAGCCCCGTTCCCTCCTCTTCCAAAACGTTTTCACAGGATGGACGGAAAAGTCCGTCTAACAGAGTGTGGACAGCCTTGCGAAGGACTAGAAGGCTTGTGAGCCTCCGGAGGGTGCAGCCCCTAAGATGGCCGCAAGCCGGCCAAAGAGCTTGGGATCGTGGGCCACACAGAAATAGGACACGTTAACTGCAGGCGTGAGGGATGGCTTTGGAGGGTGGTAGGGAGCAGGGCGGGCAAGCAACTCGGGGCGTGAACGGTGCTTCACCTGGGCTTCTCTCCGCACCGGACTAAATTGGTTTTACGCAAGCGTATTTATTCGCAGTTTCAGGCCCCAGCTTTGACTAACCGTATTTTCCCCATGCCTTTGCAGGCAAATAGTCCTCAAGACCTGAGAACGTTTTATGAGAAGAACAGGAATCTAATGCCTAGGTATGTATACCTTTGGGATTACCTGTGGGGATCCAAAGGTGTGAAAGGTCCGCCTCCGGGAAGGGTGGCAGTGCAGAACACCCTTGGTGCGTTTGTCCGCTGCAGCCTTCTCCGTCCTGGTTTGGGCTGCAGTAGCCATCTGCCGGTAGCCGGAGGAGGCCAGCTTGAGCAAGGTGTGGCTCCGTGGGATTCAGTGGGTCCACACAACAGCTATTTAAAATTGCACCACTGTTTCGCTTCTTCTGTGTTCAGTGTCCCCAGGGAAACATCTCCTTACTTGGCCGACCTGCTCCTGGGCTTGCTGCAGAGAAACCAGAAAGACAGAATGGACTTTGGTGAGTAGAACTTCAATCTGGACTCTTACCCTACCCAGTAGTTCCTTGTGTGCTTTGGGATGAACCGGTCGGTGTGCGGGAGCAGGCAAGGAGGCGTCTCAAATTCTGGGTTGGTGGGCTAGTCCATCGGGTGAGGCTAGGCGATTGCATTTTGCAGACCAGTTCTAACTGCTGTGAGTGTAATCTTCTTGCGTCACACAGAACTCTTCTTCAGAGGTCATCGTTCAAAGGAAGGGTGCTTGTTTTACATGCATGAGGTACCTTCCTGGAGGATACGTGGCCAATGTGCTGTGCACCAGCTTGGCAGATAAACGGCTTCGGTCTCGAGAATCTCCACATGGAAAGATCTCATGGCAGAACTGTTGGAGGAGACAGGGTGGAGAGAGATGGGCCAGAGGGTGGACTCGGAAGTCCAGCCAGCTTGGCTTTACTGCCTTCCTCTCTTGTTCCATCTTACTGTTTCATCTCTTGCAGAAAGAGCGCTAATAAAACCAAAGGTGGGAGAAAACTTTGACTAGCTAAGGCAAGGAGCTCGTGGGCTACTGCTGGAATGAACTGTTCCAGGCTAGTCCAGCCTTCTCCCATCTGGTGACACCCAAGTGCATTGGACTACTACCTCCATTGTCCCCAGCAAACAAGGTTAATGGGCCTGCTGGGTGCTGGTAACAGGGGTGGCCATCAGATGCTCTGGGGGTGCAGTCGGGAAAGGCTGGGCTAGGGCTTGACAGACACCCCCCCAATTGATGAGCTGGCATTGAGACGGATGTTTTAATCTTTGAGGCAGAATACTTGAGCCCATTCATTAAAACGCAGATGGATCCCTTGATGGCTTTAGTGTTTGCTTCCTCGCTCAATACACAGCGCCCTAACGAAGCAAGGCAGGAGGTGGGGGAGGCAAAGGCCGCTGCGGGGGCAGTCCTCTCTTCCAACTCGGTCCCCTCCCACTCAGCTTTTGGGACCATACTGGGGGTGGTTCAGCACCTCTGGTCATGGGCATGAGGTGGTAAACAGCATGATCTGGTTATGTAACCTTGGATTTCTGAGAAGAAAGCTTGCATCACACGTTTATACAGCGGGGGGAGGTACCTCTGGCGTGAAGCGCACAAGCAAGTCTTATACAACCTGTACGCCGGATTCATCAGGTTAATGATTAAAACCAGTAATGATTAAAAACTCCACAGAAGAGCCATTCTGAAAATAGCTTGCTGGACTATTTATAACGTTTTGTGTCTCGTGGCCGCTTGGCCTCCATTGTTGTCTGGGGCGGTTTCTGACGAAATCCTTCTGCCGCCAGCTCAGGTTGTGATCGGGCCCCGACCAGCAGCGGCTCAGCAGCCTGTTTGTGCAGTGGGGCAGAGGAGGAGTTGCTCTCCCCTGCCTGGCTCACTGCCCACCGGGAGGAAGACCTTCCCTTCCCCACCCCTCTTAGCTGTACCGTGCCTTTCAGAGTTACTATTTCATGGATTGTTTATCGAGTGCCGGGAACACGCTGAGCGCTGCACACGGGTGAACAGCAGGGCAGTTCCTACTTGAGGGACGTGTGTCTGAGCAAAACTCAAGTTCATCCAAGTTGTCCGGGTTCTGCACTGGAGCACATTCCTTCTCATGTCTCTGCCTGACGGCAGTCTAAGTTTCTCATCCTTTTTGCACGAGCCTTTCTGCATATTTTACGCGTTGTTTTCCAAACGTAAGTTTCAGTGCTGTGCAGCTTTAAAAGAGAGACTGTCTTTTCCCATTGGTTAGAGCATGTTTGTGCACATATTTCGAAAGTAGACATTTTTGTGTATACTTTTCCAGTGGGCACATGCTGCAAAATGCATTTTCTTTGGTCTGCAATTCACCTCCCAAGCTTGGAAACGTGCAGGCCTACAAGAAATAGGTACTCTGTCCTTGACTGAGGAGGGTAAAGTGGGGGAACCCGGATGGAAACGGAACTGAAACACTTTTGTTTTATGTTCCCTACCATCCTGAGGCTTGTAAGCCGTCCTGAGGCTTTTTTGCAGATAGGATGGCATATAAATATTTTGGATAGACAGACAGACAGACATGCCACGAAAGCTGAGAAGAGCAAGGAGAACAATTTCAGGTTTGGGGTTCTGACTCCGCCTCACTTCCTGGGTGGGAGGATCCCTGGAAGTTTCCCTGAGAAGCCAGCGCAGGCTCCACCGTGAATCTTTCCTGAGGTTTAGCACTCATAAAGCGATACTGCTGGGTACATTCGCAGTTTGTTTGTTTAAAGTATTTATATGCCGTCCTGTCATGAAAGCCTCAGGACGGCTCACATAAATAAAATATAAATAAAATTATTGACCCACACTGGCTGCAATAAAAACATATAGGTCATGATGTTAAAACTTATTAAAATATTGCTGAAATGAAAAGGTCTTAACGTAGCTCTGAAAAACATATAACGGCGGCGCCAGGCGGACCTCTCTGGGGCAGTTCACCCAGCATGTCAGCAGAGGCCTGGCTGGCACAGTCCGTGGGTGCCCAGAACTCTCTCTGGCACTGGACTCTGTGCCAGACTCGCTGATGTGGAGGAAGCTTCCAGCACTGGGTGCCAGCAGTGATTCCAGGCTGCAGCTCAGGGTCAGTTCAGGATCCGGTAGAAGGCAGAGCTCAGGTCTTTGCTCAGCCATTTGCTGGGCAGAGCTCTTGTTCCCCCTTCCTTTGGATCCTCATCTGAAACGGGGTACGAAGACGTTGCTTTGAAGGATTTGGGGGAAGCTGAGCAAGCGGCATACAGTAGCGTGCAGGGAGTTGGTGAATCGGCAGGATGTTTGGAAGCCAGGACCGGGAAGACCGTTTGACGCGTGGTGTGCGCGACCGAATTTCCACAAGGCGTGCTGTCGATCATTCGGTGGAAATCAGTAACTCAGGAGGAAGCCGAAGCCTCTTGGGGCAGCAGCCCGGTTCGCCTCGCTCGCCTTTTGCCGCTTCGAAGGCCCTCCTGGGTGCGGGACAGTATGTTCCAGGCCCAGGATGGCAGTGTTGTTGATCCTGTGCCTTCCAGGTCATAGAACGATGTGTTCTGGCCCGGGGCAGCAGAGATATGCCTCCCCGCCAACAGAAAAACATCTCAGAGCTGAGCTTGGCCCGCGTTCCCTCCCTCGGAGCAGACCCGCCTCGGCCTTGCCCGCCTCGCACATCCATCCATCCGCTGGGCGCAGGCTCGGAGTCGTCACGTCTCCTGGTGCAATTACGCAACCACTCACACAGGACAAACACACCTGTCTGTCTCAGGAGGCCCAGGTTAAGCGCCAGCGGAGCTCGCACAGGAGTGAGGACTGCCAGTGCTGGCCCGGGGCCCAGTTCCTGTGAGCATTGTACTGCCACGCAGGCCCCATGGAATTGCAGGGGAACTGTGGGGTCAGATCAGAACACACGCAGGAATCGTCGCTGCTTCTTTCTATGTATTTTGAAAGGCAGGAGAAACTCCTGGGTGTGGAGACACAACATCCTTATGTTAAAGCTAAGGTTCTGGCAGTTGCCATGCCTCTGTGCTTCCTAACTGGGGATGATGGGTGTTCCAGTCCAGTGTATCTGGGGGATACCAGGTTTTTGACAGCGGCACTAAATTGTTTTCCTTTGGTTCATTCCAGTATCTCTTCCAGCCATCTAAGAGTTATTTTTGGCACCTGGGTTGTTTTGAGTGCTTCTTCGAGTGCTAGGCTTGACCAGGTTGGCTCTCGGAGCCTCGGACTGAGTTCAGCGTGACTTCAAAAGCATTTTAAACGGGTGTTTTTCTGTGGAAACAATGGTGTAGTTGTGGCCAAGCCAAAAATAATAAAATAGTAGTAGGTTCCACCTGGCCTTTGCTGGATTTCTGCTTTTGGAGGTGAGCACAAGGGAGAGCTGATGTGGTGGCCTTGGACTCCCAGAAGCTGCTGCCCGTGTGGCCAGTGGTTAGGAATGCTGGGAGTTGGAGTCCCAGACACCTGGGGACCTCCTTTCTGCCCTCCCTTCACCCATTGCACTCTCGAGTCCCTGCTCTGGTCCAGGATCCTGCGTTTCCTCTGATACGGCCAGCGCGTCACAGTCCTGCCTCCAGGTGGGAGGAAAGGGACTCTCACACCTGTCTGGGCTGCCTGTGTTTATTGGCATCTTTAAAGCGGCTGACCGCCTTTTCCTTTCCAAGTTTAGGAGCAAAATATGCCGCATGCCAGCTTTAATCTTTCATGAGCTCGAGCTCTGCTTGGCCCTGGGCGGGCTGCTCATTGATGGAGCGTTTGCGGGCAGCCGGAGCCCTTGCCTCGGCACTGCCTCGCCATATCTCTGTCTCTCTCTCCCCCTCTCTCTCTCCCCCTCTCTCTCTCTCTCTCTATCTTCCTATCTATCTATCTGTCTATCTTCCTTCTCAAAGCCAGGCTAACGCATCCCTGTGGTCGCCTCTTTTGCAGAAACCTTCTTCAATCACCCTTTCCTCGATCAAGTCTCGACCGTCAAGAAGTGTAAGCTGAAATTCCTTCCCTTCTTGTCTCCCCACCCACCTCGCCCACATCTCCACGCTTGCTCGGCAAGTGCCGGAGACCCAAACATCCCATCCTGTTTCTCCACGTGGTTTTCCATCGGCTTCCTGCCCGGACTCTCGGGCTGCGAGAGGGACTGCCTTTTGCTTGTCCCCGCCCAGCATTTGTGGAGTTTGAATAAGAGTCCTGGAAGTCTCCCGGCAGGCATTGTGAGCTTGTGGGATGTCCACTCCTTAGAGTCCGACCTTTCCTCACATGATGTCCCCCTCCGGTCTCTTCCCAGCTTGCCCCGTACCCGTCCCAACATACACGGGGTCCGCCTCGGGCAGCTCCTGCGGTAGCTCTCCCTCCTGTCGGTTTGCTTCTCCCCCGGTAAGTTCTGTCCTCCTCTGGAAAAATGGATTTCCTCTGCCTTGGAGGCGGGGGCATCTTGCACCCGAGGCAGAAGGTTCCTGTGGAGAGCTCTGGGTCCTCCTGACCAGCCGCCTCCTCTCCAGTCTCTCCCGGACATGCAGCACATCCAGGAAGACAACCTCTCGTCGCCCCCCCTGGGGCCCCCAAATTACCTCCAGGTGTCCAAAGATTCCGCCAGCAGCAGCAGCAAGAACTCGTCTTGTGACACGGACGACTTTGTCCTGGTTCCGCACAACATCTCGTCCGATCAGTCGTGTAAGGCCCTCTCGGTTCCGCACACGGCTCTGCCCGTGCTCGGCGGCCGTGCCCACCTTGAAAAAGCCGCCTCTGCTGCTGCGCTTTTAGTGTACCCCAGCACAGGCTCGGTTCGCGTGGAGGAGCTCAGCTTTCGGAGTGTTTTCTCCCTTTGGCGTGGGGACGTTTGCCCATCAGAGGGTCCCACAGGTCTTTCGGCTTCTTGCAGGCATTTTGGGGAGAATAGCGGCCCAGACAGGGACAGTTTTGTGCCACGCAGGAAAATTCCCGGGACAAATCATGAGGCGGAACTAGAGATGGTTGGCTTTGTCTGAGAAGGGGTTGGAAAAACGATGATAAACTGAGAGCTGATTTTTTCAAAAAAAACTCTTCCTATTTCCTTCCGGGCGTGGCAGCCACTTTTACACAGATATCTTGGGTTTCATGAAATCAAGGCAGAGCCACTGCAGCGATGGGCAGGCTAGAAATCTGAAGTAGGTTCTCTAAGGCCCTCCCTCTGATGGAGGCTGGATGAGTGGGAAGGGATTTGCCGTTGAATGCCTTTGCTTCATGGACACGGGCGGGCTCCCTTGCTTGGCTCCCCACACAGGACGGGCCTCTCAGCCGGGCCGTCCCTTCGCTTTTAATGCGGAAATCACAGGACCCTTTTCTGTCTGAGCGGTACAGGAAGGCACCCACAAGGCTTTCGGGGGGCTGAGGCCACCCTCGCCCGGGAAGCCCTCGGCTGGCCCAGAATCCCAGCTCTGCGGTCCTGCAACGCCCAAGGCATCCTCCCCTGCTTGCAGCCGGTGCAGAAAGAGCCCTGCTGTGGCCCCTTCCCAGAGTTTGCAGGGCAGGGTGGGGTGTGCTGGGGGGAAGGGGGGAAGCCGGGGGCTTGGGCCAGGTTTGGAGGGTGCCTCCAGCCTCCCCCGGGGCTTTATATAAAGGGCCAGAGCAGACCAGGCGGCGGCACAGCAGGGACAGCTGCCAGCCCACCGGGTGCTCTGCAGAGGACGCCCACCAGCCTTCAGCCTGCTTGGCTGCAGCCCAGGCACCACAGCCCTCTGGAAACGGCCACGAGGCATGCGCTGGTCCTGTGAGGAAAGCCCACGTGGGAGTGGGAGGGAGAGGGCCGCCCTGCCTCCCCAAAACACGCAGCACTGCCCCACCAGTGACCTTCGCAGCGCAGGAGTGCTCGGGGCTGGCCAGGCGCCGAAGGAGGGGAACGGCTCGGTTCCCCCTTTCTGCATCCAGCACCCCCCACCTTGCTGCAGGGGCAGGATCCCCAGCCCCACCCCATGCGCGCAGAGGCCTCGTCGGAGCCCTGAGCCCCTGCGAGCCCGTTTGGCAATCTGTGTTCATTATAAAACCGGGAACATGGAGAGGGCTTTGGGGAAAGCCGCTTCCCTCCCTCCCTCCCTGGGATGGGATTGTTTTTCTGTGTCACTTTGCTCTCCATGGAAGTCCCTGCGATGGAGGTGCCGTGCCCTTGTGGGCGGCCTGTTGGGCAGCTGCGTGCCAAGGCACTCCCAACGAGGGGGCAGCGCTCCCGGCCAGAGGCACCGCTGCGAAGGGAGCGGATGCCCTCTGCTGCTTTGCTGCCCCCCGGGGCTAACGCTGCTCTTGTCCCGGCCTCTCTCGCTCTCCAGATGACATGCCTCTGGCCCCAGCCGGCCGGCGCCCCTCGAGCGAATTCCTGATCTGTGGCGGGTAAGTGTGGCCGGGGTTTCGCCTTACTGGTTTTAACCTCCGGCAAGGAGGTCCTGGGAATCTCACAGGGAGAGGCGGTGGGATTCCTGCCGACAGGGGGCAGCCCCCGTGCGCCTTTCCAGCGAGGCTCGGCCGCCTCGTTGCTGGAACTCCTCCACATTCGTCGGTGCTTTTAGAAACGGCTTTGGGGGAAAGCCGACACTGTTGGGGAAGCTGTGCGAGGTCCCCATCGCGTCCTTTGCCCTGCCCATAGCTCGCTCTGCGGGAGCAGTTTCCCTCCCGTCCCGGGACGTTCCCCCTCCCTGGATCCAGCCTGTCAGTCGCAGGTGCCTCTTTCAGAGAGCAGGAAGCAGCCGCCTCGCCCTGCCCTGCCCTGCCCTGCCCTGGGGGAGCCGGGCCTTGCGCCGTTCCCCAGGGGCCGCCAGCCACCGTAAAGTAAAGCTCGCAGCAGCCGCCCAGAAAGCACACGCACCAGGCTCAGGTGCTTGCCTGGGGCCAGCAGTTCGGGGCTGGCAGGTGCCCCAGCTGCTTCCCGGCCTCGCCCACCCGGCCTTGGCGGCCTCTGAGCCTCGAACAAACAAACACGCCTGTCCCCGGCACATTTGCTCCTGAACTTCCTGTCTCCCCCCGCCCCCCCCCCCCCCCCCCGTGACGGCTTTTCCTAGAAGGCTGTTGTTTGGAAATGTCAGGAGGCAGCAGGGGTGTGGGGGAGCCGCCCTCCCTTGCCTGTGGGGAGTGGGGGAGGGCCGGGTCTGGCCGAGCAGCCTTCCCCTGCTGGCATGGCTGATTGACCCAGCCGAGGCCACAGCCCTCCTCTTCCTCTGGCCAGCTCGCTGGGGGCCGTTCACTCGTCCTTCCTCTGGCTTCACAACTCCAGAGGCCACCGGGCAGCGGATGGTGAGCCCTGGCCCCCGCGGGACCTGCAGGGACGGGGGGTGTGGCCCCTGGGCTGCTCCCCTCCCCTGTGGAGCCTTGTCAGTCCTGGAAAACAGCACGCATGGGGACCGGACCCCCCACCGCCCCTCAGCCTCCTTCTTCCTTGTCTCCTGGCCGCAGGCAGTGCCAGCCGTCGGTTTCCCCCCGCAGCGAAACGGCGCCGATCCCCGTCCCGACGCAGCTCCGCAATTACCAGCGCATCGAGCAGAACCTGAGCTCGGCCGCCAGCCCCAGTTCCAACCCCCACGGATCCTCCAAGTGAGGTTCCCTTCCTGCTCGCCCCCCTCCGCGTGGCCCTGGTGGCTCAGTCGCAGGCCACCCTGCCTGGGCCCCTGTGCAGTGGGAAAGCCCGTGGGGCGGGGGCAGACTTTGCTGGCCAGCCCCACAGCCCGGCCCTGCTGGCGGGGGGATCTTAGTGACCCCAGGCAGCAGTCTGGTGGGGGATGTCTCTGGATCGGTGGCGGAGGGAGCATCCCACAAAGCCAGGCAGGAAGGGCCTCTTCCCACAGTGCCGAGTTACGTACACGCTGGGCCACCCCACGACGTGGCTCCCCCGGCCACCGGGAGGGCAGGGCCATGCTCCGCCAGGGCCTCCCATGGCCGAGCTGGGCTCCGAGCACCACCTCTTCGCTGCGATCAGGCAGGGCCGGGCAGCCTTCCCCCACGATGCCCGTGGGCTCGAAGGAGTTGCATGCCCAGGCGCTCCACACCCAAGCGGGCGAGGAAGGTGACCCCGGCAGCGCCAGCCGAGGGGCTTGGGCTGGACTAGAAATCGAGGGGTGCTTATTTCAGAGGCGTTATTTTAAGTCGGGCCAGACTAAGATGGGCACTCTTGGCTGTGTCTTCAGGTCAGCTGCGGTGAGGCGGTCAAATACCAGCCCCATGGGCTTCCTGAAGACGGGCTCATGTTCTCCCGTGCCAGCAGACCCCACACAGGCTGTGGGACACCGGCTCTCCACAGGCTCGTCGAGGCCGTATTCCCCCTCGCCGCTAGGTAAGCTGGACAGGGATGCTCGGGCAGGTGCTGGCAAGGGGAGGCCGGAAAGGACCAGCCCTTTTAGCTAAACGTGCTCAGTACATGGGTGTAGCTGAAGCTGTTTGCCTCCATTCAGGCGCTTCAGTGTTTCAGAAAGGGGTTAAAACTGCCAGAAAGCACGGAAGCTCCCAACCCGATTGGTGTTTGGGGAGGGCGGGAAAGGCATGTAGTCCTGGCCTGGGTCTCAGCACCCCGCCATAGACTTGTCTGCGCTTGCCAGAAGGCTGCCGCTGCGTCGTGTCCCTTCAGTCAGGACTCGGTGCCCAGGTGGACACGAAGGCTCCCGTGCGGGTAGAGGGGTTGAAATCCCGCCGTGCGTGCTAGAAAAAAGCACTCCCAAGTCAGATCGAGGTGGCCTCTAGAAGAAGCTGCCAAAGAGCCCCCGAGAGGTCGGTTTGGCAGGAAGCTCCCCTTGCGGGGAAATAACGGCGCATCCCGTCTTTTCGCCCCCGCTTCCTAGTTGGAACCATCCCTGAGCAGCTGGGCCACTGCTGCTGCGGGCAGCTCCAAGGGCACGAATCCCGGAGCCGGAATTCCTCAGGTGAGCTGCCGCCGTTCCCACGTCCTGGTCATTTAAGGCCCAGCGTTTGGCTACTGCCAAGCCCTGGCCAGCGTAATGCACAAGCCAGCCCCTCTGGGTGGCTTCCCCAAGGGGCTCGCGGGTGGAGAGGAGCTGTTTCTCTGTTGTTGGAGGGAGCGCTTTCTCGTTTGCCCAACAGCACGAGCCTCCTTGGCGATTATTGTTGTCTGGGTTATAAATCAAATGCTGCAGTGTAATGAGCCCCATCTACTATGGGAGAGGCTGCAGCTGTTCCGCCAGCCCAAGACAGGGCATTGCATTAAAATTCCTGCTCAGAATTTCTGGAGGTCCAGCATCGGAAAAGCCTTACATGTATCCACAGACGTGTGGCCGGGATTGCAGATTCCTCTGAGAGGACGTAAAGACAGTATTGCCGAGTGGGAAGGGATGGGGGGCAGGACCTTAGTGTGTGGGAAATGGCCCTTCTGCCGGCCGGGGGTCCTCACGGCCCAGTCTTTTCCGCTTTGACAGAGCCTGGCTCTCTGGGGGCTACAGCAGAGAGGCTGTTTCTCCATCCCGCTGTCCTGATGCTGTTTTGCTGGAGATGCCAGGACCTGAGGGGGCATTCGCCCCACGCTGTGGGCCGGGTGTCCTTGAGATAGCCATGAGCTTGTACCCAGACAGCCTTAAAATTAAGAGCCGATCAGCTGTATTCATCAGCCAGTGTCAAACAGGCCACGCAAACCCATTTGCAAGAATCAGTACCGATTCGAATAGATCAGTTACTAGTAAGCGTCAATGAAGGCGGACCAAGCGGAGATCCTTGCGCTGTCGTTCACACACGTGCGCCTTCTCCTTTTCCTCGCGACCATCTTGTTGTGGGGAAACCGGCAATACACGCCCCCAGGTTCCGGCACGAGGAGCCACGTGCCGGCGCCTTCGGCCCTCTTCCCCAGAGCTGCTCCCGCTTCTCTCCGCAGGCTCGCCAGTCCCGCAGTCGCACTCCCCACAGTCCCTCCTGGCGGCCGGAGCCCGGATGCAAAGCGCCCTGACCCTGACGGACATTTACCAGAACAAGCAGAAGCTCCGGAAGCAGCACTCGGATCCTGTCTGCCCGTCCTACGCCGGCTACAGCTATGGCCACTCGCCGCAGCCCGCCCGGCCAGTCAGCCTGGGGACGTCGCCCACCAAGCTGCCCGGCTCGTCGCCCCGCAGCTCGGACTGGCTCTTCAAAACGCCCTTGCCCACCATAATAGGCTCTCCCACCAAGGTGGGCATCAGAGCTGTCCTGTGGGGGCGGCGCCGGGCACCGCTGTGGCTCTCTGGTGACCTTCCCTGCCTGGGGGTCGCCCAGATGCCCTGGCTGCCAGTTCCCGAGCGCTGGCTGGGCTGGCTGGGAACAAGGTGGTCCAGCGCAGCCAGAGGGCCCCAAACTGGGCAAGACGGGGCTAAATTCTGGGCTGCAAGCAAAGCATTTCGTGGCAGTCCTGGCAGGGTTTGCACTGAGTTACACCAGCAAGTTTGTAATTTTGCTGTGTAACACAGGATTCTTGTTTGTGTCCCAAACAATCCAAAGCTGTTAATTGGAAAATGTTGGGGCTTAATTATAATCCGTGCCCCAAGAGGTTCTTTTCCTGCCACGCCGGTACCCTTCCTCCTTTGAATGACCCCGCCACCATATTCTTATTTGCAATATTTCTATACGGCTTTGCATTTCTAAACAGTCTAGGCAGCTCTCCAAAAAAGGTGCTCTTTGTCCAGCCTGGTGCTTGCCAGATGTGCCTGAGCACAGCTGCTGGCCAGGGGATGCTAGGGGTTGTAGTTGAACACACGTGATTGGGAGAAGGCTGCCTTAACATAGAAACCGAGCGAGTCAGGAGGGACCTCCTGGGCCATCTAGTCTGACCCCTGGCTCCAGTCTGCCGCAGAGCAGGGAGGGGAAGGGCTCCCTGTGTGTTGGGTGGGAGGCCGTCTGTGCAGGATTGCAGTCCCGTCTGTTGGTCCCAGCAGAAAATTCAAAAAGGCCGTTTTCTCCCAGTCAGTCCAGCTCAGCTCCGCCTTGACATTCTGGAAAAGGACAGGAGCGAACGGAGCGTTGGTACAAGCCTTTCTCTCTCTCTCTCTCTCTCTCTCTCTCCACGTGCCCTTCAGGCGACAGCTCCTTTCAAGATCCCGAAGACCCAGGCCTCCTCGAACTTGGTGGGCCTGGTCCGGCGCCAGGGGCCCGCCGAGGGGCCCCTGCAGCCCTCGAAGGACGTGGGCGAGGCGAGGGCGTTCCCCCACTTCCACTCAGCGCAGGGGGGCGAGAGGCGGGCGGCGGCGGAGCAGCAGCATGGGAAGACGGCCTTTGGCAGGTAACCTGCCGACGGGAGGGGGGATTCACGCAGCCCCCAGGTGCCCAGAGACAGAGTTGTCCCCGTGCCCTGCAGGGGGGCCCTGCCGGTTAGGGAGTTGCTTTCCAGCGGGCTTCCTTGCCTGGCGTGCCTGACACGGCATTCTGGGAACTGAAGCCCTCTGCAGACACTTCTGAGCTGTTCCCACCGCCCTCTCTGCCAGTCCCAGGTGGACACCCGCTGCCCCCCAGAGGCAGGGGGGGAGGTGGGGAGCAGCAGGCGGGCCTGCCTCCAGTGCAGCCCCTTCCAGCACCTGGCGGTCGGGCATGTTCCGGGTCAGGGTGGCTCACGGTTACGTTTCTTGCTCTACAAATAGATTGTGTTTCGAGAATAAAATGGATGCTCCTTCCAAGACAGCATGTCTAGCCTCAGGGCAGGGGAAGCGACCTCCTTTTCATTCCCAGCCATGCTGCCGTGACACACGTGAGCCGAATGAAATGCGGCTTCTGCAGCCTGGAGATAATTTTCCTTGCCTTCCTTACAAGGAAGCTCTGTGTGAATTATTCCTCTGTGTCTAGAGAAAGTAAAGGCCACACTCCGGAGTTTATAAATCATGCAGATGGAGCCGTTCTGCATGCTGTTTTTTGCTTTGCAAAGTCCTGGCCCTGCTATTTGCCGGGGTCAGGGAGGTCTTTGGGGGGCTGAAGCGGCACCCTCTGAGCCACTCCCCAACCTCCAAGGCGGCTTCTGCAAGCACGAGAGGAAGGAAGCCACGCTCTGTAGCAGGCCCAGCTGGCCAGGGCCGGCTTCAGGTTCTTGCTCAGGCGGTGTCAAAGAGAGTGCCAAGCCTGCCCCTTTCGCCGGCTTTGCCCTGGAAATGGTCCCAGTGAATCCTGGCGTCTGTGGCGTGTGGTTTGTGCCGCAGCGAGGCCCTCGCTTCCTGGCAGGGTTTTCTCACGTCCTTTTTAGAAGAAAGTTCCCCCTTGTGTGGGTGCATGAGCAGATCTGTGCTTGTCTCTTCCCTTCCCAAAATGTCTCCATGGCACGTTCTGAAAACGACTCCCCGCTCTGTCTGTTTTCCTGCCGGAAAAGCCTCTACAGAAATCCGGCTGACGGCTGGCAAGGTGCGAGCCTCCCCTCGGTGGATCGTCTCTGGGGGGGTTAGACTTCTGTGCACATGGGAACGGGAGGCATCGCAACCCAGCCCACTTGGAGACCTCCCGCTCGGGGTAGGGGGGTGGGGGGCTGCACCGAAGCCTGGCCTCAGCCCCGGCGCTTTGCTCTTCCGCCTAGGTCCGTCAGCGCCGGCAGGTTGTCGGACCAGCAGGCCAGGGCCGCCCTGGGCAGCCAGCTCTACCAGGGCAGCACGGACAGCCTGAATACCGAGCGGCCGATGGACACAGGTGAGGCGCTTTGGGGCTGCATTCAACCTGCGCGCGGTTACGGCCACATACGCTTTTTTGATTCCTCAAGCGTCTTTCTTGGAAGACCCAAACGGACGTAATGCCGGACTATTTTGAGGGAGGGGTGTCTGGGAGTGAGTAGCCTGTTGTCCGAAATGGGGCGAGGAGGTGGGAGGCCCTCCCGGGGCAGCCGGTCCTGCTGCAGCGGGCGACGCGTGGGTGTCCTCACGGGGACTGACGTGCCGGCCTCTTTCCAGCTCCGCCCGGGGCCTGTGGCATCGTGGCTGTGCCTCCCCCCGTGGGCTCCGGCGGGAGTTCCAGGGCCGTGATGTTCACCGTCGGGTCCCCCCCAAACAGCGCCACGCCTCCGACCTGCACCCACATGGTCCTCCGTGCCCGGACGACATCAGGTAGGCCGGCGGGCCTGCCCTCGACGTGGGGCCGGCTGTGTGGCCGTTGCCTCAAGGCACGCTTGCCCCCCTCCCCTGCCCTCCCCTCCGCAAGCCCTCACATGGCGTGGCGGTTGAAGCAGAAGCTTCGGAGAAGAGTGTCTTGAGGGTTGTGGGGTGGAGGCAGGCCGGAGCGGGAGGCCTTCCCTTCCCAGGGGCAGGCCGAGTCTCCTTGCACCCTCGCTCTGCTCCGTGGGATTCCCGCCGGCCGGGAACGGCAGGGCTGCTGATGTTTGGCCGCTGTGTCGGGCGCCAGAGCTCGCGCTCCGCGTGCCAAGCCTTGCACAGGCAGAAGTGCGCGAGAGGGAGAGCTCGGCGGCCTTGGGGGAGCGCTGAGGCTTGCGGGGGGCCAAGCAGCCTCGTGGGGGTCCCCAAGATGCGCGTGGGGGGCGGGGCCGACAAGGCAGCTTTGCCGGGCTGACGCGGATGTGTTCTCTTGTCTCCCCGTGGACTAGTGGGCTCCAGCAGCTCCGGAGGGTCTCTCTGCTCCACCAGCGGCCGCGTCCTCATGGGCTCCCCACCGGGGGCTTACATGGGCTCCTCTCCCCCTGGAGCAGATGCCGCTCCATGCCTGAAATACATGCCTTACGGGGTCTCGCCTCCCAGCTTAGAGGGGTTTATCACCTTCGAAGCCCCCGAACTGCCAGAAGAAACCTTGATGGAGGTACAGAGTTCATTTGTAGCATATGATCAGCCAGGAGTGGAAAGCCGGAGTCGAGTCGTTTCTGTGCTGCGTTTTTCCCCTGGCTTCAGGGTGGGGGCCTCGGGTTTGCTCTGCTCATTTGACTCGCGTTCGCCGGAAAGGAAAGGCCCTGCCTCAGCTTCGGAGACCGGGGAGAGCTGTGCGGGCACAAAGCCCGGCCTTGCCATCTCCGTGCTGTGCTCCCGCTGCAGCTCACCCGGCGGCCCAGAGCGGAGCCACGGGGACTGATTGCCCTGGGCAGCCTTATCCTCCATGGAACCACCGCCCGGCTCCGGAACAAACACCGGTAGCCCTCTTGGTCGCTCCTCGTTCAACAGTCTCACACTGGCGTCTCCCCCTGCAGCCACCCTGCCCTTTGAGATTGCCTCTCTCACATTTTTGAGTAGTGCATTTTATTTTTATTAACCGGGTTTAATTTCTTATTGTCTCATAGCCTAAGATCTCGTTGACATGTATGCCCCGGCTTTCCTCCTCCTCGTCCTGCGGGCACACAAGTGTCGCTCTGGAACCACTGAATGCCGGTCGCTGCAATTCTTGGCCTTCAGAATGGGAGTCTTAGATCAGGCCTTCCATAAAGAGCAATTTTAGTGTTTTCACTGCTCCGAAGTGATTTTAAGGTTTTGTTTTGGATGGGGGAACACCCTCTTGATGGCATTTCGTTAGATCAGCTGGGCTTTTTCTGGCAGTGTGGCACAACGGTCAGAGCAGACTGGGACTCAAGCGATCCGGGCTGTAGTCCCTCCTGGCCGTGGAACCCCCAGGGGACTTTGAGCCACTCCCTGACTTTCAGCCGAACCCTACCTCACAGGGTTGTTGGGAAGCTAAAATGGAGAGGATAATTACGTAAGCTGCCCTGGGTGCCTTGCAAGGGAAAGGCACGCCCTGCTGATGCATGTTCCTGATATATAAATGACCCAGAGCAAATCGCTCTCCGCCTCTTTTCTCCTAGCAGTGGCTCTGTGGAGCATGGTAGGCTGAGCGATGGCAGCTGGGCCAGGCTTTGCACCAACGGAGCACAATGCGGGCCTCTCGCAGGGCCACCCGGGGAAGGCCCTGCTCGGCAGCGCCCCGTGCCAGCGGGTCAGAGGGCCAAGGCTTTAGTGGGCCACTTTGCTTCCTTCCTCCCCTTCCCCACCAGAGAGAGCACACCGACACGCTTCGCCACCTGAACCTGATGCTGGCCTTCACAGAGTGCGTGCTCGACCTGACGGCCGTCCGGAGCGGAAACCCGGAGCTCTGCAACTCCGCGGTGTCTCTCTACCAGATCCAGGAGAGCGTCGTCGTCGATCAGATAAGCCAGCTGAGCAAGGACTGGGGGTACGTGCCGGCCTCCCGCGGGATCCCCCTGGAGCTCGGCAGAGCCCCGCCCCGGCGTGCAGCCAGTCCCCGCAGATCCCAGCACTCTGGGGCGAGTGCTGGGTTTGCGCAGCGGAGCCTGGCGGTTGCCCTGTATGGGTTGCGATGGCACGGCTTTTTAATGGGGATCCCACCCCCCTGTCTGGGCACAAAATGGAGCCTCCTGACCCCCCCCCCCCATTGCCATCTAGTGGCATGACCTGCTTCTGCCCCCACCTGGGTGTCTCCTGGCCCGGGCTTCCCAGTCAACCCTGCCTGGCAGAAGCTGGACACAGCCCTGGCCGGGGCAGCGCATCTGTGCCCCCGTGCCGGCCCAGAGGCTCGGCTCAGAATAGTCCCTGGTTGGATACAGCAAAAGCCTGCAAGCAAACCAACTTGGCTGCCGGAATGGGGAGTGTTGTGCCCACCAAGTCCAGACTTCAGCCAGGCCGTGGCTACTGGCACTCCCGGGTCTCTCCAGATGTTCCTCCCACCAGCAGGCGACTCCCTCTGTTTCTAACCAACCCTGTTAATTCCGGATTTCAAAGTCGGTGCTCCCAGCTGCTTGGGCTGCTTGTGGGAGACATCTGTCCCCTAGTGGCTGAAGCAGCTGTTGCAGGTTTTAACTGCATGGGCGCCTTAGAAATAATGAATGCATTTTAAAAACAATAAACCGGAGGTGCCCACCCTCGGGGTCCCCTGAGCATGCATGCCACACTGCAGGCGCCTCGGTTTTGTGGTTAGAGCGGTGACAGATAGATGCTTGCCTGCTTTTAGATAACCCACGAGGAACTGGGCCGTGCTAGAGACAGAAGTAGTTAGCCCTTGGTCCCCCCCCCCCGCTTTTCATGTGAGATGCTTTTGTGGGGCCTGGTCCCTTTGGGTTACCCAAAGCCCCCAAACTGCCTTCCTCCTGCTTCTGCCCCAGTCCCCGCTTCTGACTGTCCTTCCACGGCTCGCAGTGCTGGTCAGGAAGGCGGTCTTGGGGCAGCTTGTCCCTTGCGACTGGTCGTTCTGCTCAAAGAAACTGTGGGTCTTGCCAGCACAGCTGGAAAACCAGGAAGGCAGCTGAGCATCGGGGGCACACGTCCAGCGAGGCCGTCACTTTCTTTTTCAGCCCCTCTGCCTCGCCTCTCGCCACAGAGAAGAGGGACCTCCTTTCCTGGGGGGTCTAACGTGTCCCTTCCTCTCTCCCTCCCCTCGCTAGCTTCAGCTGTGCTCAGTGCCTTCCAGGCTCCCTGTTTCGTTTCAAGTTTCTGATGTTTGTTCCTAATTTAAAGCAAACTGGGGGGCTGGCCATGCCGTGAAGGCAGTGCCGTTCTGTCTTCTGATGTCCAAGAACAAAGAGCCACAGCAGCCTCTCGGGGAATATAAAGTGGTTCTTGGCTGCATCCCGGGGCTTCCTTTGCTTCAAATGTGCCTCGTTGCCCCAAAAGAAAAGTAAAATATAAGCCGGTGGGTGGGTGCTAGGGAACGTGCTCGGGGGCTCGAGCCGATGCCGGGGACGAGGCGGCCGCAGCCGGGCCTGTGGGGACCGCCCAGTTCCGGACGAAATGCCTGCGCTGTTTCCCCAGGCAAGTGGAACAGCTGGTCCTGTACATGAAAGCAGCCCAGCTCCTGGCCTCGTCCCTCCATCTGGCCAAAGCACAGATCAAGTCGGCCAAGCTGAACCTCTCCACAGCCGTCAAGCAAGGTGTGTCCGTCAGCGGTGCGCTTTCCCCTCGGGGGCGGCTGCCGTCTGAGCACCCTCGTCCCGGGAGGCGAGGCAAAGCGTGGCGGCGGGGACCACGTGGGTTGCAGGAGGGCAGAGAAGGTGACTCTCACACCTGCGGGCCAAGCCTGGGTGTCTGGAGTTGTTGAAACCCCCGTGTCCTTTCGCTGGATCACTGGCGGCTTTCCTGCGGTCTCTACCATTTCCCCTTCTCCTGAAAAGGTGGGATGCCTCTCCTTGAGGCCGCGTTAACAGCTGAAGGAGCTTTTAAGCTGCAGCGGGTGCTGTTTGGCTCCCTCCCCCCGAGAGGGCTGTGCCTCCCCCCCGAGCTGCTCAGGTAGAAAGGGGCCCGGTCCCTTCATTCCAGGCTAAAGTTCTGGCCCTTGGCCTTCACGGCTGGCGTTACTCGGCTGCGCTGGCCACATCACAACGGCTGTGCATGCTTGGAGCATGGCTGTGTCATCCTGAAGAAGCCGAGCAGCCATACACAAGGGGGATCCCGGGGAAGCCAATCCCAGGAATGTCCGGAACATGGCCTTGGAGGTGGGAAGCTAGCGGGAGGCGTTTAAGCTTGCGGGGGGGGGGGAGGAATTGCACTGACCTTCAAGCCCAGGCTTAGAACGAGCAGAAAGACCCCCTGATCTCATGGCCCAGTGGGAATAGGCCAGGGCGCCTGCTGCGGTCTGTGCGGCATCCGGTGCGAGGCACCAGTGAGGACGAACGGGCGCGCTGGGTCCGTGGGGCGGGGGAGCTCGGTGCTTCCTGCCGCCGCGTTACGCCCCCCTCTCCCCCTGCAGTCGTCAAAAACCTGAACGAGAGGTACAAGTTCTGCATCGCCATGTGCAAGAAGCTGACGGGGAAGCTCAACCAGTTCTTCTCGGACAAGCAGAGATTCGTCGATGAGATCAACAGCGTCACGGCGGAGAAGCTCATCTACAGCTGCACGGTGGAGATGGTGAGGGCCGCGGACCCCCCAGGCTCGGCCTCAGGCCCTCGCTTGGCCACCCCGCCCATCCCCGGCTAGGGAAGCCACGCGGCAGCCCGTAAGGCAGGGACGCAAACAAACCGAGGCAGTGAGTCGGAGCTCTTGGGGATTCATTAAAACTGTTTTCCGACTCGTTCGTGTGCCTTGTGCGCAGCCCTCTGAGGCGCCGAGGCGCTCGGCCGTGCCGGTAACAAGTTGGATTCTTTCAGTCCCACACAGCCAGCCCTTTGCTGGCGGGGGGATCGTAGGATCGCAGAGCTGGACGGGGCCATGGAGGCCATCGAGTCCAGCCCCCTGCAGGCGGTAGCATCAGGGAACGTTTCCCCCATCTGTCACGTGGTCAGAAGCCCCGGTGAGGCTGGCCGAGGCGGAAGGGTTCTCCTGTGCCGTTTGTGAAGGGCTCATCTTTCAGGGAGAGCGCCGGGCAAGGAGGGGGCGTAAATGTGGGGCAGCCGTTTGCTGAGCGCCCCTTTGGGGGGCTGTGCCGATCCAGCCCAGCTACGGCAGGCCTTTAGAGGCACGGTAGAAGATGTAGAAACTTTGGCGGCTGTGCTTATTTCTGCTCCACGGAGGAGGCGATGCCCTTTCAGGCCATCTCGGTGGTGAACGAGGGGGACGGTTCCTTCCCCCCATCACCCATCCTGTTTACGGCTAGCCACGGCCCTGACGGCTGCCCCAGCAGCGCTGTCTGTCTGAGGGTGCCTCCACGTGACGCCCACCTACAGAGCACGGCACTTGTGTGCTGGGGGGGGGGGGGCAAAGTGTGGGATCTTTGGCTCTCTCTCCTCCAGAAACCTGTGCGTCAATGCAGGTTGCTGGTTTTTCACACTGTCACTTCCAAAGAGCCCCCGGTTTTGTTTATTTCTGTGTTAGGCTGGCCTGATCGAGGACTCGAACCTGGTCTGGTCAATGACATGCCAGCACTCGGCTCGCTCTGGCTGGCCCGCGGTGCGGACCAAGCCAGCCGACGGGCGCCTCAGTATCACAGGCACTGGCCCGCCAGGGTTTCCGCCGAGGTCTAGTCCTGCCCAGCGAGGCCAGCAGTTAAGCCAGGACCCTCGCCGGGCAAAGTTGAGGCCCCTCCCTTTGCAGACTGCCGCCCCAGACCCCCGCCCGCTTCTCAGCCCTTGGCTTGATTTGCCTTTCCGATCCCCCCCAGGTGCAGGCTGCCGCCCTGGATGAGATGTTTCAGCAGACGGAGGACATCGCCTGCCGCTATCACAAGGCCGCCCTCTTGCTGGAAGGCCTGGCGAAGATCTTGCAGGACCCGGCCGATATCGAGAACATCAACAAGTGTAAGTTGCTGGGGATTCCTCACAGCCGGCCCGGGAACTGCCCTTCCCTCTTGCGGTCCCCTTCGTCCGGGCTTTTCCAAGGTTTTCCTGCCTCGCATCTTCTCAGCCCAAGCGCTCCTGTTCCAGTACCCCATTTCTTTGCTTTGTTTTTCATCTATCCAGCCCTTTGGCTAAAAAAGCTGCCAGGACAGCTTGCTTTCAGTCAGTGAAAAGTTCCCGGCCTTCAACTTCACTATCTAAAGATGACGAAAATACACAAGGAAGAGCACGGGGGAGGTTGAAAAGGGGGATAAATTTTCGCCTTTCGGCAGGGCGGCTGGAACGGCCCTGCTTCTGCTTCCCATCCTTTTAAAGCATTCTCCTTTGCTTTCAGATAAAGCAAGTATCGAACGCAGGCTTTCGGCTCTGTGCTACAGTGCCGTAACCATTTACGATTAGTAGGCGGTTCAGCTGAGACCACCCGACAGATGTTTTGCCATGGCCAAATCACCAGTCGCCCCTTCCTTCTCCAAAGGGAAGGCGGCTTTATAGCTCTGTGGTTGTCTACCAAAGAAAAACGCAGTCAGTTCACAGAGGGGAAGAAATCCCAAACTCTTCTGGAGGTGACTTGCCTTAAGACTGATCTCGCTCCGCCACCCCTTCGCCCGCTGCCGAGGAGCCAGATTTTAAAGATCAGACCGGGGGCGGAAAAATGGCTTTTTGTTTTCTTACATGAAAGAACACATTCGTCTTCAGCAAAATCGAGAGCAGCAGGCTTCCCTGTTGTAGCGGGGAAAAGGTTCCCCTTGAGGACGGGTCGGTGGCATGAAGACGAAATCACGTGTTCTGTGACGCTTGGGGGCCATTAGAGTTGGGTCTGAGCTTGGATCTTGTGAGTTCCACTCTTCAAGCCATCGGAATAGAGGAAAAACTGCACCTTTTAAAAAAACTGGGGATACAGTGGACCTTTTTATTTTATGTTATTTTTGGAATGGATGGCATCTATTCAGAATCTCTGAAGCAAATTTTAGCGATGATCGTGGCTATACAAGCTTGGATGTTTTTCTTCTCCCCAGCCCCCTTCTCCCCAAAACACTTTATGTTGCACTAATTTACTAAAGTAACTGTGTACTTGATTTTGAAGGAAACACCCCTGTTAATTTAAACAACACACACACAAGAAAAGGCACAATAACTAATGTTTACTGGGGGAAAAGAAACTCTTTCAATTCACTGTATATATTCAAGAAACCCCCCCCCCCGACTCCCTTCGATTGCCATCATCCCAGAAAACCGACCTTTTCCAGAATTGAAATGTAGCTTCTTCAGAGACATTCAGACAAAGCCTGGTCTTCTTGGGGCGTTTGAATTTTATACCTATTTATATAAAACCGGAGTAACTCTGCCACTTCCTGGACTTTCTTGATGGTATCACACAGTTGATGGTGGCTTGCTATTCCCTCCACTTTCATATAAGGGTTTCGTTGCTTAGTTCTGTTGTAGCATGTGTGAAACTGCGTTGTTGCCTGCTTTGGGTGTGTTATCAATTCCCTCTCCATGCCCTTATCTGGGGCTTTTCTTGCAGAATACTAGAATGCGCCTGAAGACCGGCCCTTTGATAGGTCTGTGTGAGGCTCTTAAAGAGACACGGAGTTAGGAATACACGTGGCCTGGACTTTCCCTAAAACAGCAGAAGTATCACGGAGTCAGGGGCGTTCCAAAGTGGTTTTTGGGAATGCTTACCCGTCGTGGTGTACTTCCACTCTCTCCAGCCGTCCCTTCAGGTTCTGTGACTTGCGATGTATTTAGGAAACTTAGGTTCTCTGCAAACGGATCCTCTTAATTTTGAGAGATTTCTCTCTCTCTCTCTCTCTCTCTCTCTCTCTCTCTCTAAATTGTCATCGCTCAGTGACTTTTAAAAACTTGAAAGCACTGTTCTTCATAACAAAATCCCTTGGAACCTTTTTTTTTTTTTTTTTAACTGGTCAGGTCCTCTCTGCCGGAGGTTTCTGGCCGTCAGACACTTTTCATGGATGGGCAAATGAAAAATCATTTGTGTGTAGGTCTCTCTCCTTCCCCTCCCCCCTCGCCATTTTTGCTTTGACAAGAGTAATGTACTTTTTACCTTTATTTATCCGTACAAGAAATTCCAGTGATTCATTTGAAAGTGTTTTTTATTTATACAGCGTTTGTATTTTAGGTCTTTAATACAGTGTTTGTACTGCCTCTCCTTTGTATCTGCATGCATTATTCTTGACCCATAGAGTAATAACTGAAAACCAACCAACCCTGTTACATAATTTTTATTATGGCCTGTATAAATGTATATTAAGGTTAAAAATAAAAAGTCGACTGATACTCCAGCGTACCAGCCAAAGCTTGACTCTTAAGATTGTCACCAGGTCCCCCTGCTAGCACGCTCCTTTTCCAATTAAGCTAACGAGGAAAACACCTGCCAGTACTATTGCAGCAAAACATATCCAAGGACCCAGCATATTTGGGATTTGCGGGGAGTCAGGTGGAGCTGCTGTTTACAGTGCTGAAGATGACTAGCCCAAGATGAGGTGGGGACTGTACCTTTTCCGGGGAAGGGACCCTAACCCAGTGGCATAGTCCTCCCCGGCTGTCTGTGGCAGGTTCCCAGTTCAAGTCCCTGGCATATCTGGTGTAGAGAGACCAGGGAGGACGTGATGGGGAGAGGCCCTTCTCTGATTGACACACCCTGGAGAGCTGCTGCCAGTCCCGGCAGACAGATCAGCATCCGTAGCTCCGTCCTGGACCAGCTACTTTGCAGGTGTCGCTCCCTCGGTTGTGCCATCCGCCTCTACTTCAAAGCATTGCAGGTTAATTCGTGGGTCACATTTCTGTAGCAGCTGGTATCCGGGGCACTCTGTGCGGTTTACAAAATAACGCAAAACCCACAAACATGCCAACACGTGAAAGTCTGTGAAGAAGTTAAAACGAACCGTAAAACCGCCAGCTAAAAATGGAAAAGTCCCAGGGAATGACATCAAGTGCCTGGGAGTAAAGTCTTAACCTGATGCCAGAAAGAACATTGGCACCCGATGGGAGGGACTGGTTCTGTAGTTGAGCAGCTGTCGCAAGGACTTCGCGAAGCTGCAGCCCTCCTCTTCTCTCAAGGCCTTCCAGCACCGCTGGCGCTGCTTCCTCTGGAAACCCTCCTCTCCCTCCGGGGTGCTCGGGCCTGCAGCGTGAATTTTACAAGGTGGATGAGGAACTAGCAACTTGGCACACGCCAAGGGTCTGGTTAGCAGCACGTTTGTGCGAGAGGACACTGGGGGTTCGAACCCGGGAACGGTCTCTGCTCGAAAGCCTCAGCTGCTGCTCACTCCCAGCGGTACCTCCCAGCTCCCGTGCAAGGGGCTGATGCACGGCGGGCCCATCACGGCCAAGCGTGATCGAAGCGTGCAGTGATCAAACGGGATCAGCGGGGATCAAGCCGTGATCTCTTGTGTTGTCCACAAGGCGGAGCTGCCTACCTGTTCACCTTCGGTCTCTCGTTTGTTCAGGGGAAGCAGCCAAAAATAACGGGCTCATGTCAAGGCCATCTTTCTGGGCGCGTCCTTTTCTGAGCAACCCAGGACTCGTGCTTGCACAGAAACAGATGGATCTTCTCCAATTGCAAAGTTGTATTTCGGCCTCCGCGTCCAAACGGCAGTGTATTTGCACCAAGCTGGCGTCTCTTCTTGTTTACAGTAGATAGTTTTTATAAAACAGTCTGCATCTTTTTCCATACCAATACAAGAGAATACAGTTTGCTGTGTCCTGTCGCTTGACAGTTTAGGGACTACAGTTGTACAAAGGTGATAGTCAGCGAGCAAAGATGAGGATTAATGATTTGCAAACCTGTTGAATCTAATGTTTAAACGTTGTGCCATCCAGAATTCCCTCCAGTTGGCTCAAAAAGTTTTTTTTCCCTAGTGGTTAGTGTGTGATTCAGTTTGAGTTTATAGTCTACCTTTTCTCTTGCAAGGAACTGAATGCAGCTTACATAATCTTCCACTCCATTTTATCCTCACAACAACCCTGCAAGGTAGGGCAGGCTGAGTAAGTATGTATGACTGGCACAAAGTCCCCTGGTGAGTTTCGTGGCCAAGTGGAGACTCAAACATGTGTTTTCAGATCTCTACTCCAAAACTCTTAGCTACAATACTGCACTGACTGTCCAGGTGGTGTATTGTGGGGGGGAGTTGTTCATTTTCACATCTCTGAATGCTTTGTCATTTTAATTTCTTGTGAGACATCAGAGTATTCCCTGCCTCTGTCGAAGGGCTTGGGCATAAATAATTATAACTTGAATAATTCATAGTCCTGTTAAAAAAAGGAGCTAGACCGCTTGTGTTCCTCCAGCTCTCTCTGAAAAAGATTCTCAGATCATGGAAAGAGAACGTTTCATTTTTCAAAGTACCCCAATGTGTTTTGGCCCTGCAAAGAACTCTGAAAAGTTAATCTTGAAGAGTAAACGCTAGACAGCCTGCAGTTATTTCGGTCCATCGCTGCTTGTGCTGATGGGAGGTGCGAGACCTAAGACCTGGCCCACCCCATTCTAGAAGTAGAGAGAGGAAGAATCGAGCTTACCTCCAGTTTTTGCAAATTAAATTAAGCATGCCTCCAGAAGCAACATTTTGGGAAGTGCTAACCTAGGCCATCCACCCCTAACCTGTTGATCTCTTGGACTACACTTCCTATCAGCCTTAGCCAGCATGGGTTAGGGACCACTGATCCTGAGTTCCCACAATGCAATCAACTTGCATGGGTATCTCTTTAACATTTGAGATGGCTGCGCATTCTTTTTCCGGATCAGCTGCCTGCCTGCCTCTCTCTTCTTGCCTGTGATCAATTTTAGATTGGAAGCTTCGGTGCCATCATGAGCCAGTAACCGACGGCACTGCATTATCCAGCACATGCTCAGAGCTCTGTCGTGGACGCGTGTCAAAGCCATGCCAATATCCAAGCACCTTCCGATTCCTTGGCCTAGAATCACAGTGCTGGAGCAAAGGTGATACTAAAATGCCAAATTAACGCTCTGAGGTTTGCAGTTCCGCTGAGTTTTGAAACGATGCTCTTGGACCAAACAACGTAGCAGGAAGATGAATTTCTGCCTCTCGGCATTGTTCTCCATCAGGCAAAAGAAGTCAGTGTCGCAACTACTGTTTTCCTTGTCTTTCCTTGCTACGGTTCTCCCCCACCCTCCATTTTCGCTGACGGCCCAGTTTCCTTCCCAAACCTGTCCTGCTGGGACCAGATCATGCAAGGTGCGTGGGAGGCTGTGGAATAATTAGTAACCCAGGAGTCTCCTTGATGCTCTTGTTTTGTTTTTTAGAAGTGCTAAGATAAATGCATTGCCCATCAGGAGCAGGAATACGTGGTACGCTCTTACCCCACTTCTCAGTCTGTATTCTTGGCTCCAAAGCAGGGGCGTAAAAGCATCGGTTTTTTCATTGATGTTCAATTGTAAACCCATTTTATGGGAAAGTCCTCCACGTACTTGTGTGCATGGAATCCACCATGCCTTCCGAGGTGCTTGGGGCTGGAAGGCGCCAGTGTTCGTGGCCATCGACCAAGCTCGCCGGGGCGGGCAGGAGCCGGAACTGAAACATCTTGAAGGTTCCAGGTTGGGGACCAGAGGAATGTTTATTTCCCCCACATAAGCGAACTAGTAAGACTTCACTGCGAAATGAACAGTCTGTTTTCAAACTCCATCTGTGTGATGCAGAAAGCCAGAAACGGATGCCAAAGTATCCGTTTAGTGTTCTAGTGTTCAGGATACATATCTAGTGTATCCTGAACACTAGAAAAGACACGGAACAACGGGGTCTTGGCATAATCCAAAAAGGGGACCAAATTACGAAACTATACGTGGATTTAATTGCTGTTCAGGCAGCCTTACTACAGAACAGAGCTCCGTCTTCTCTGCCTCTCTGGCACGTGCCAGAGGGGGGGAAATTCTGGCCCTGGGGGTGTATGATTGTGGGGGCAAAGCTGATTTTGAGGTGTGAGGACTTAAGCTGGCGCCGGAAAGGGGAGCATCAGTTGCTTTATCCAGCCTGTTCGTCAATGTTTGGGAGCTGAAATGAGAATCTAAAAAGGGATGCAAGATAAGGAAGCAAGCTGGGGCTCGTGGTTGTTGGTCTGACACGCCAGAGTCAAGATGTGGCACTTGATGTCACGCCAGCACAGAGCAAGGCAAAACAGGTCATGGGGCCTGTGGGTGAGGTGCGGCTTCTCAGCTTGCCCCTTGGCATACCTGCCTCGACTCTGGTCGATGGGGAAGCCAGGACATCCTTTCGTGGGTGGCGGCAGCCAGGGAGGTCCTCTCTCGCTTCCAAAAGAGCAACTTGACTAAAAAGAGGAGTCTTCACCCCTTCACCTGGCACCCAAGCCGGGGTACCCCCTTCCTCTGCCAGTACCTGGAGGGCCCTGGGATTGGTGCCCCTGGAACATCCTGAGAACAGCCGCTGTCCAAGATGGAGGTGGGCTGAAGGTTGAACTGGGATCCACTGGGAGATGGCTGGATGTTTTTAGCAGATTCCTCTTTCTTAGCCAAAACAATGGTGAGCCAGTGGGGTGCAGCGGTTTGAGTGTTGGGCTAGGAGTCAGGAGAGCCCGGTTGGAGTTCCTACATGGTGGCTGGGCAGCCTTGAACTAGGTGCAGAGTCTTAGCCCAACCCTACCTCGCAGGGTTGTTGTGAGAATCCAATGGCAAGCAGGAGGGCTTCGAAAGCCACCTTGAGTTTCTTGCAAGAGGCAAAAGGAAGGATGGTAACGCAAGAATTAATCCTTTAAAAGTCATGTTTTCCTCCCGGCAGAATTAGTATCCTGAAAACAAGGCTGGTGCCAGGCGCAGGAATGACTTTTCACGCGAAAAGTACCAGTCGGGGATTCCTCCGATGAATATGTGCCCAGGGAATCCACATTCCTAGATCCAGGTTTGAACCCGACTCCAATTCTGAGACACACAGAGTGGAATCTGGGCTAAATTGTTTGCTGTTATTCTTTATTTTCATGTTTTGTATTTCCTGTTTGCTGTTCTGAAACGTGTTGCTCAAGGCCCTGAGAAGGTCAGCTATGTCATAATTAAAAAGTGCAGTAAATGTATCGTTAGACCCTGAAGTCAGCCCGCCTTCCGCCGTCTGGTGTGCTGCAGGGCTCTTTTTGGTTTTTCTGCTTTTCTTTTCACATGCATGGTATTTTAACGAGAATACGGTACAGATGCCAGTCCTGGGCTCGCATCCAAATTTCCCTGCCGCTTCTAGCGTGGAAGGGTGTTGTCTAGGGCTGGAGATAAGGCAGTCTTGTTCGACAGAGGACGAAGGCCAGCCGTGTTGCAGCGACTCCGGGTGACAGGTAACAGATTTCTCTGCTTGGTTCTGCTGTTTTGAACAAATTCTAGCCAAGGTTGAATGAAGGGGCAGTGTTCACTGTCTTTCTGATTTGGGGGCGTTTTCAGAAGGCATAGAAAACAGATCAGAGAAATCTCTACTTTCCGCCTGTATTTGCATTTTGGGAGAAATTGCCTTGATCCCTAAACATTTGCAGTGGAATTTCCTGGGGGAAATTTTCTACTGTGCAAATCTGGAATTCTTTTTAAAAAAAGATGAAGTAGAGATCTGAGATGTCTTCCCTGGATCTTAAGATATTTTTAAGATCTTAAGAGGTCTTAAAAGATCTTAAGTTTTGGTGTTTTTTTTTTTAAATTAAAGGCCAGATTGCTAAGAAACTAGAGAAATGGTCATTCCATAGGAATATGTTCTAGAACCAACCCAAATGTCAGAACATAGAAGGCAAGCTTTTGAGGTTTCCGCATCTCTGCAATCTCAGGAACAAGATCCTAAAACTAGAGAAAGGTGTTTTTTTCTAAGATGGGACTTTACTCTGAGTTGGCCACGCTACCCAGTGTGATGGCGATTGATTTTTTAAAACCTGAAATCAATCTCCAAGATTTCTAATTTAGAAATGTCTCCCCTTGCTTGTGTTTTCTACCTAAGAAAGAAGCCCTGGGGACGGAGGCAGGTATAAGCTGGATTTTGCATGTTTAAAAATTTGTAGGTCAGCCATGGTAGGTTTATCGGCTGCACCCTTTCTAGATGCAACGTGAAACTAGCAGGGCAGATTTCATTGGATCGATTTCTTGGAGGGTAGTCTTTTTCTTCTGGGCCACATCACAACATCCTGGCGTGGCCACAAGTCAGGTTGCTTCTTGCTTTGCTGGGCATCCAGAGGAGCTCTGAGGAACCCGAAAGCTTGCTTGCCACCTTTTGAATAAGGTACTTGGCCTAGAGGGTCCGGAAAGTGGGAAATGCTGCCTCTGCTTTCCAGGCATTTTTGATAGGCCAGCAGAATTGTAAAAATGAGCCTTTGAAAAAAAAATTGAGTGCCAGTGCCCATGCCCGGCATAATTTCAGGTGTGGGCTGTGCATTGCAAGAAATTTCTGGAATACAGCTTGGCTTGGGGAGTCCGCAGGGCAGCTTGGCTCAGCCCGGAGGACTCTTTCTCAGCTTGGGAACAGTGCTTTTAAAGTCCCCAAGCCAGCAATCGGAGAGCTCCAATCTCTTGTTTGCCTCACTGTTGTTCAAGGGCAAAGGGGGACATGTTGCAATTCGGGCAGTGGAGGAAAGGAGCAGCCATACAGCCGTGGCGCTTCTGCAAAAGCTGTCTTGCTGTAAGGCGGGGGTTGGCAGGAGCCAGCGTTGAGCTGCTGTGGCTGGAAAGGTCGATGCCATCCTTCGATGCGCTATCGGGAGATAAAAGAGCTGCTTGCTGGATCAGAGCAAAGTTCATCCTGTCCAGCAGCTTGGCAGATACTTCTAACCATTCCTGAGCACCAAGTTGCACATATTCTTCCTGGACTTGGTGCTCCATAAATCACCCCCTGAGCAATGCTTCTTAAGAAGGTTTCCTTTAATGCCTTCATGGTTTGGGGTTTGGTTTGGCAGGCCAGAATTCAGAGTGCAGCTTCTCCTCCTGCAAGAAAAATAAAATGGATTTCTCCTTCATCCTTAAACATCAGAGATGGGCAACCAGTGGCTCGCCCTGGACTTATTTTCCCTTTGAAATTTACTGCTGCTTCCGCTTGCCATCTGTGCTCCTTTTCCCCCGGTAGCAGCCTAAAAATTAGGGAGGCAGCGGTACTGGGCACTAGCGAGGAATACACTTTCTGGGCGGTTGGAGGCGAAAGTAATCTTTTTATAAGGAGAGCTCTGTGCTAACGTTTGATCTGATGCATGTTTGCTCAAGAAATCCCAGTGTTCAATTAAAATTCTAGGTTGTGTGTCTTCTACAGGATCAGGGTGATAGTGTGTGTGCTTGCTGTGTACGTACGTGTTTACACAGGACTAAGCTGGTGTTGGGTTTATGTCCAAACGTAGACGTTTTAGGCTTGCAATCATCCGCACCCCCCACACACACTTTTGTGGAGAGTACACCCCACTGAAGTCAATAGGACTTTAGAGCAGGCAGGCAGAATGTACTTTTTCTGGTCATTATATAAGCACCCACCTTTTAAGTTTAATGGCAAGGGTATTAAAATAATAGCAATACAATTCCGTGCCCCTATTTAATTGCAACGCTTTAGAGCAATAGGCATCATGCTGATAATAACGACATACGATGCATTCAGTTCAGTGCCCCCTTTTAATTGCAACGCTTTTAAATACCATAATAATCTGGGATGCGTTCAGTTTAGTGCCCGCTTTTAAGTTTAATTGCAACGCTTTTAAATGCCATAATAATCCGGGATGCGTTCAGTTCAGTGCCCGCTTTGCGTTTAATTGCAACCCTAATAATTTTTTGGGTTTAATTTTAACCCTAATAGCCGCTCTCGCTTCCCACCAGCGGCGGGCGCAGGGGAGCCACGTGACCGCGCGCGCGGGTCCGTCCCAGGCGCCGCTGGCGCGAGCCAATCGGATCGCTCGCGGCCGCAGAGCCGCACGTGCGGGGGGCGGGGCCTGCTCGGGACCGGAAGAGGGGCTGCGACCTCCCGGCAGGAGCCCGTCCCGTGACCGGAAGGCGGAAGTGGGCGGGTTGGGGTCGACATGCCCCCCGCAGAGAGCTGCGTTCAGACGGACACGAAGGGGGTGAGTGAGGCGCGTGCACTGGGCAGCTTAGGGGGCTCACGGAGGTAAGGGAGAGGCGGGCGTTCCGCCCCTTTTTTTGGCCCGAAGCCCCCCCCCCGTTAAGTGCGCACGTGCTCTGCGCTGTTCGGGGCCGTTTGCCAGTCTGCCCCTGCCGAACTTCTGCCTGCTCTGCGGCCAGTGAACGGGCTCTTTTCGCGCGGCGGTCCCGCTGAGGAAGGAAGCTGCCCCTGCGGAATGTCAGCCTGGATTGCGGCGCCCGGAGGCCTTTTTCCTTGGAAGGGAGTATCGCTGCCCCGATGAATGTATTCATGCCCCCGTACCTGCTGCTGCAAAAAAGGGTCTTGCAGACCGTGACGTCCTGGTGAATTTCTAGTAGGAAGGGCCAGGCATTCAGCAGGGGCAGCGTTTCCCCCCGTATTCCTAGAATGGCAGTAGCTTCGCATGGAGGAACCTGGTTGGTCCTGTTGAGCTGCCTTGGCTGTGCCTTTCTGGAGGCTTTTTCTGCGTGGAGGGGACCTTGATGGGATGGCACTGCCTGCCAGAAGTCGTTCCTAACGTTGTTGTGGCAGGGCTATCCCTGTTGGATCCTGGCCTGTAAGTGGAACGGAGGTACCATTAGGAAAGCTTGTTTGAGGATCGAGGCAGGGTCTTAAGAGATTATGTTAAAGAGCATGTAAATGATTATAACACAAGTCTGATTGGAAGAAAAAGCATTGAACTCTTTTACAAACTGATTGTATTGTATTAAAGTTTGCTATTTCTGGAATTATGTTTTTTTTCTTCTGTGTTAACTGATAAGGTCTACAAAATGTTTCAAAAAGATATAAAGAGGAAGAGAACAACAGGAGCGTGTGTGAAAGGACCGTGTATGTGTTCCAACATTTGTCGGATTGTTTTTTTTTATCTTTTCACCCAGATTCTGTGCCTCTAGGAGCAGGCTAAAGGGCAGGAATTAATCAGGTAATGCGTTCTATTATTTCCATGTTGCGCCACACCTTCGCCAAGGTTTTTCTCTTGTGAAATGCTTGTTCTTCTGTTTGCTGTTATAAGATGAAGGAGCAGTGACAGAAGGAGAGGTGGCAACTTAAAGGGCAGTGTACAGGAAGCCCAGCAACCTTAAAACCTAAACCATTTAGAGTACTAGTTATAGTAGACTTCAGATCTCAGCCCTTAAAGTTCACTGGACGATCATGGGCCAGTCATTCCCTCTCAGCCCAGCCTGTTTCATGGGAGTTTTGGAGAGGGAGGGAATAGAACCAGCTACCTGTACTTTGATCTCCATGAAAACAAAGACAGAATTCGGAGAAAAAAGAAAAACCCGTATGTGCATGGTGCTTGACCCCATATGTGGCTTGACCCAGAGGCCGAGTGTTTCTCCAGAGTGGTGTGCTGCATTTAAATGGGAAACAGGTGCACACTCGCCCTGCCGTGTGTAGGAGTGTGTACCACTCATCCCACACTGCAATGTGGCATGCTCCTGTTCAGACTTTCAGCCGGCCAGCTGTGTCCTTTTCCACAACACCCCATTACGCCTGCCCCGCTTGTTTTCCAAGCCTTCCCTCCCAGTAGGTCACCCCCCATGTTCACAGACCAGCTCAGTTTTGCTGCTCTGCTTTGTGGGAGGGAGTTTTAAAGCTTTTTTCCAGCCTCTCTCTGTGTTTGCTGACTAGCAGGTGTTGTCCAAGCCTGCTGGTACCTCCCTTTTGAGTGTGGCGTTGCTCTTGGAAAATCAAGATTGCTGTTGTTTATGACTACGTACTGGGATAGACACAGAGGAGAAGCCCCTGAAGGGGAGTCACTCTTGCCAAAGAACCAGCTTCGTGTGCCAATTATTTGGCCGCCTGTGCAATATTTAATTCCAGCAGTGGGCGAGACTACACGCACAGGGCCGGAATATCAGATCACCAGCCTGTATTAAGTTTAACCCTAATCCATGTGCTCCTCCTCGGAGTTAATGCAATTCCCTACAGATCAGGTTGGGCGCTCCCAAGCTGAGCCAGCGATCCTCCCACTCATGATGCCTCTGCTTCGCTTGGATTGTGCCTCGGGGGACTGGCCCTCGTTCATGGTGCCTCACGCCAGGCATCGGTTGGAGGCGCCTCCGCCGCCCTTTAACCTGGTGAAAAGGAGGGAGAGAGCCAGGTGCCTTCAGCATATGGGCGGCACCTTGCTTCACTCTCTGGATAACCTCTCCAGTGAGTTCTTTGAAGAGTACAGGATATAAAAGACCTTTCAGCCTGGCTGCTGCATGTCAGAGCAGAGATCCCCTAGAACAGCCTTACTGGGATTGGCCCTCCAGGTGGGCACAGAAAATCCCCCCTGCGGTGCCATTCAGACCCAGAAAGATGATGCGATCGGTGGGATCAGACTCCGTGGAGAGATCCAGACCCGCCGAGACTGCATTTGCTGTGTCCGGCTGCCGAAGAAGCAGGGAGAACACCTAAGCAGGCAAACCGTTGTCAAAAGCATATTTCAGTATTAAAGAGTTGTTTTCTGATGGCTCCTGGCTAAGACATCTGATTCCCTCTCCCTTTCTGGATTCTGTAGACAGGCCGAACCAGTTTCAGCCACCCAAAAGCCAGAGGGAAAACAGGTGTGCCAGCTGAAAGCAAGCTCTTAGCATTATGCAAGGGGATGTACTTGGTGTGGGTGTGTGTTGGCGGGCAAGGCTGCTGTTGTAATCCTGGGCTGAATTCAGCTGCAATGCAGGGATCCAGAGGGATGTTTGTATCAGCAGAGCCCCCCCACCCCCCCAGTCCTGGGAAATGGCAACTTGCTTGGGGTGGGCTTGGGGTGCCCCCAAATCCTGGCTCCTTTTATTTCAGTTAACGTGCAATGGCATCGATATCCCAGTTCCTGCTTTCTTGCACGGCCCCCAGGACAGCTTGTGAGGCCTTCCATCTCTGTATTTGCATCCTCCCAACAGCCCTGGGAGGCTCCGATGGGCCACAGGGACTGGTCCGAAGGCTCCCAGTGAGCTTCGCAGCCTCGTGGGGACTCGAGTTGGCTCCTCAGCTGTACTTGAACAGCTCACGCAGATAAAAATGTGGGTGTTGAAAGCGGAAGCCGGTCAGCAGCCCAGGCTCTGGCGGGGGAGCACCGTTTGGTCCTCACACCGCCACTGGTTGCGTTCTCTGCAGCCTTCCGGAGCCATGGACCGCATGAAGACGGTGGTGGAGCGGGCCAGGGCCGCCTTCCACACGGGCAAGACGCTCCCCGTGGAGTTCCGGGTCCAGCAGCTGCTGGCCCTGAAGCGGATGGTGCAGGAGAAGGAGAAGGCCATCGCGGCCGCGCTCGAGGCCGACCTCCACAAGGTCAGCCTCCGGGGGCGCGGTCTGGCTGGAGGGGCTGGTGCGCACTGCAGATGGCGGGTGGGGGACAACGAGGGAAGAGAGAACGAGGCCGGGCCCCTCTCCTGGTGGATCCCTGGGGAAATCCGAAGCCGGGGTCCTCCTGCTGGGCTGTGCATTATGGGTCCTGACGCCACCGGCCTCTGGTGACTACGTAACACTCCGTCTTCATGCCTTTGCTGGCTAGCAGTGGGCCCCTGGGCTTGCTTGGCGGTCCCGGAGTGGACTGGAGCAGGCAGGAAGGCCGGGCCGGGAGCGTTCCAGGGCTGTGCCTCCTGGGTTGCCCTGGGCTGCTTGAGAACGAGGGCGCCCGTCTCCGCTTGCCGTCCCCAAACAGAACAAGTTCAACGCCTTTAGCTACGAGATCATGATCGTGCTGAGCGAGATCAACCTGGCGGTAGAGAAGCTGCCCCAGTGGGCCGCCCCCCGCCACGTGGAGAAGACCATCATGACACTGGGGGACGAGACCTACATCCGCTCGGAGCCCCTCGGCGTGGTGCTGATCGTCGGCGCGTGGAACTACCCGTTCGTCCTTGTCATGCAGCCTTTGATCGGCGCCATCGCAGCCGGTAGGTCGGGCCGCCCCTGCCGTCCTGCCTCAGGCCAGGTCCTCTGTGCCCCAGCAGGCAGGGCTGGTGGGTCCAGGATGATGGGGGTGGGCATCCAAAGCAGCCGCAGGGCTTTCTGTGGAGCCAAGGCAGCAAAGCCCCTCGCCACGCTGGCGCTGCCACGGGCTTGTGCTGCGACAGTGTTGGGAAAGTGCCTCATTATGTTCACCCGGAGCGACAGGTTGGGCTTCCCCTACATCCTCTTCCTGAACCCGCCTGGCTTCCGCTCAGCATATATCGGCATGTACCTTTTCCCCTCGTCAAGAGGCAATGCCAGGAGGAGACCCCAAAGCCTGCGGTGCAGAACCCAGGGAGCCAAATCTGGCCTTAACGGGGCAGTGCAGGCTTCTCATCCAGCCTTCTAGGGTCACCCAGAAACCCACGCCTTCTTCCTCTGGTCGCCTTCCCCCTGTCCCTCAGCCAACAATATCTGGGGGTTGCCTGGCTGTTGAGCTCTTTCCCCGTGCCCCAAAAGTCCGAAACGCCTCTCCTAAAGCTAAGTGGCTCCCAGAAGGAGCTTGAAATGCAGGTAGGATCGTCTCTTGGGCCTGCAGTGCTACCCACTTTCCCAAAGAGTTTCTGTGATTAAGCAGCTGGCCCTCAGCCAGAAGAGCTTTGCAGCCACACCTAATCAAATGAGTGATTTGCTTCCAGAAATTAGCGATTCTGCAAGCTGCTGAGGCCTGATGGTTCAGTGTGTGGAGGACTGACTCAGCCGCCCCTCTGAGCATCTGCATTATTTGCGCTCTCTGAAATACGTATTTGCTGCCATGAGCACTAGAACCTTGCACCTCCGTTTAAAACCTGAACCGAGTGGGAATTGTAAATGTATTTTATTTGTGGCGTTTTTAATTTGATCACAGGCATTTAATGCTTGAAAGGGCGAGATACCAGACAAACCAGTTCTGGGGAGGCTGAATCAGACATCGGGGTGCAGACATACTTCTTGTATGGGAAACGAGGTCATTGGGCTCGTTAGGGTCTTATTTATTTTTATTTATTTAAAACTTTTGTAGACCATCCCATTACCGAAGTCTCGGGATGGTGTAACAATAAAACGTAAGAGAAGAAAATTTAAAACATAGCATCCTAAACTTTGCAATAGTAACAACCGCACTTAAAACAGTCAGATCATGAAACATTGGGAAAATAAAATAGGTTTGGCCTGGTGCCGAAAAGAATAAAGTGGCACCAGGCGCCAGGGTCTTCCTGCCATAAATATCAGTGCATCTACCCCACCCTCCTCCTGCCCCAAAGGCCAAACCAGTCGATCGTAACACACAGAAGATATTGTGGTGTTGCCCTGCTCGTTTCAGCTTTCCCTAGGGGCTTGATCCGACAGCAGCTCCCAGGGAGGTTAAATTGCCCCCTTTCCAACCCTCCCGTGTCCCCATGACAAGCTTTTCGACATTTCAGGGAACGCCGTTGTAATGAAGCCGTCGGAGATCAGCGAACACACGGCTAAGCTCTTGGAAGAACTTTTGCCTCAGTATCTTGACAAGGTAGGCGCAGGGAGCTGTCGTGGTTCAAAGCAATGCAGCTGCACTTAACTCCCCTGCGGCTGGGACTGCAGCCACGGTGCTTTCAGAAGAAAGTGTTCTGCAGAAGCAGGGTGGCGTAGCCCCTCGAGCCGCGGCGCAGTAAAATACTGAGGCGAAGCCAAACAAAACAGCAGTAAACTGCTTGCTGGAATAGAGAAGTTTTAAGGGGCAGTGGAAAATGCGGTGGCGATCTTGCTGCATTGATTTCCAGAGAAGGGGGGTTGACTTAGATGAACCCCCAAGGGTTCTTCTATCTAACGCGAGGATTCTCTTGTGCGTTCCCCCCAACTTGATCTCAGAGAAAGGCCCTTGTCGCCCGTCTTCCTGCCACCAGGGATGAAATCTCCAAAGTCCCTCTGCAATGCTTTGACCGCTATGCACTCTGCTAATTACAGCTCATGCACAGCTCATGCGCGGTGAGCTTTTACGCTCCCCCCAGTTTAACACGTCCAGCAAAGTGGCTAGAACAGAATCGGCCTCTGAGCATCACAACAAAAGACCCAGCTTCCTCTGGGCTCAACAGCGAGAGCAACTCCAAGACGTTTGCAGTTTCGGGGAAAGCAGGACCCTGCCTGGGTTGTGGACGCTTGCGTTGTTCCTAGCAACGTCCACCCCAGTGCGGCCACGGACGATCAAGCTGCACAGACGCAGGCCCTGCGGGGTGAGGTGGGGGTGGTGAGCGTTGCCTTCGCTCTCCGTGAGCTGCCTAGTTTCTTAACTGCCATTTGCCTGGGCCAGGAGCTTTACCCCGTTGTCAATGGAGGGGTGCCGGAGATGACGGAGCTCCTGAAAGAACGGTTCGACCACATCCTCTACACCGGCAGCAGCCACGTGGGCAAAATCATCATGAGCGCAGCTGCCCGGCATCTGACGCCGGTCACACTCGAGCTGGGGGGGAAATCTCCCTGCTATGTACACACAGACTGTGACCTGGACGTGGCTTGCAGGTAGTTCATTTTTCAGTGGCTTCTTCCGTGCCTGAGTCACCTGTAAGCAGAACAACTAAATCCAATGGTAGAACCCAAGCGAGTTAGAAAAATCTTAGTTTTAGAAGTAGCAATAAAAGGCAGGTTTTGAAAGAGACGGTTAACCGAGCAACTCAAAAGATGATTTTTTTTAAAGCAGCATTAAGTGTATTAAATACAAGTCCAGTGGAGGTTAAAAAGATTTTGAGGTTTGGCAGAATGAATTTGCCTTTGCCTGCTGCCGGTTTGGCAACATTCCATAGTTTAGGGGGCCATCACAGAGAAGGCCCTGCTCATGAGTACGTACCCGCTAAAGTTCAGCATGTGTTGGCAGGCAAAACAGGGCCTTGGGTCATGATTTCCAGGTGGGGGCAGGGAGGTATAAGCAGATCGGTCTTTTAAATACCGGGACCCCAAGTTGCGAGAGGGAACCTGACCATCCGCTCTTCTCCCGTTAGGCGGATCACGTGGGGCAAATTTGTCAACTGTGGGCAGACCTGCATTGCCCCCGACTACATTCTGTGTGACCCATCCATCAAAGACAAAATAGTGGAGTCGATCAAGAAGTCACTCAAGGTGAGCGCAGAATTGGGGTGGCCCAGGAGGTCTCCTCCGTAGAAGGCCATCCTGCGGAAAGACGTGTCCGATCGTGTGTAGCACACGTGAGTTGTATGTACTCACATGGGCTTTGTGAGGTCTTGTGCTATGACACCAGTAAGGCGCTAGTCCTCATGACCCCAGCCTGACGGGCCTTGCCTTCCTCCGCTTGCAGGATTTTTATGGCGAAGACATCAAAAACTCCCCAGACTATGAACGGATTGTGAACCCGCGGCATTTTAAGCGGATCATGGGCCTGTTAGAAGGTCAAAAGGTCGCTCACGGAGGAGAAGCGGACGAACAGACATGTTTTATTGGTAAGGCCAGTACCAGTTTGAGTTTAGACCTCCATCGGTGCCCCGTGGGGAGTGTGGGTAGCATTTCCAGCTCTTTAATATCCTTTTTGGCTTGTCGTGGCCGGTACTGGATGCATTTGGTACTTCCACTTCAAGTAGCTTCTGAGCCAAAGAATTTACAGTGGTCCTTCTTAGCTTTTCTTGTGTGGTTTGTTCCTCTGCTATTTCAACAATTTGATTCACGAGTGTTTAAACGACCCAGTAATTGAAATTATCTGGGCAGCGCTCCGTATATTAAAACCCACACAGTACCAACGCGGGAACAAGACAGTACAGAGGAAAGCGAAGATTAAACCAGCAGCATCGTCAAACCAAATTAAAAACCAGAGCCAGGTTAAACTATAAAAAGCACTAAAAATGCCTGGTGGGATTTTTCAGATCCTTAAAATTCCTGGGCGAAGAAAACGCAGTGGCCAAAGGCTGCCGCATGAAGCTCTCAGTGGTAGAGGAGGCATTCCACAGAAGGGGGCCACCAGTGAAAAGGCCATGTCTTTCCGTCCCCGGCCTAGTTTGATTTGGAAGGGGTACCTCGAGGAGGAGCTCTTTAGCCTCCAGGGGGGAAACGGGGGAGGAGATCGTCCTTCCAAGAGCCCAGGCCCAAGTGTTAAGGTTTAAAATTTAAAACCAGCCCTCTGAATTGGGCCTGGAGCCAGTGCTGATCACAAAGTACCGGTAGGACCTTTCCCCATCATAAGTGTTGCCACCCTGTTTCCGCATACTGGGAGTTTGTGGGCTGCTTTCAGGGGCAACCCCTTGTGTAGCGCATTGCGGCAATCCCAGCAGGGTTGGATGCCGCGTGCAGGGATCTTTTCCTCCTCTGCCTCTGCCGCTCAGTCTTTCCCTCTCCCCCTCTCCCTCTCTCTTTCTGCCTGTAGCACCCACAGTCCTGGCAGATGTCAGCCCGGACTCCAGAGTTATGCAGGAGGAGATCTTCGGCCCAGTCCTTCCCATCGTCACCGTGAAGGGCTTGGACAGCGCCATCCAGTTCATCAACCAGCGGGAGAAGCCCCTTGCCCTGTATGTCTTCTCCAAGGACAAGAAGGTAAATGGCGGGAGATCGGCAGCCTGCACCGAGCGTCTGCCCGCACCGGGCCTGGCCAGTTTTCTCAAGGGGTTGTGGGCAGGGGGCGATTTCACCTGGAACAAAGGGATTCCACCCACCGCCTTCAAAGGCGGCAGCAAAATCGAACACGTTTTTGTCGGTGGCGTGAAAGCCTCTTTCTCCTTGCCTTTCTCGCTTTGCTTTGCCTTCTCCTTTTGAAGTCGCCAACACATGAAGAGGTGCTTTTACAAAGCGTTCGTGGTAACCTCACCGAAACCCGATCCGACGGCATCTTGTGGGAATATGGCCAATATCACAAAAACATCCGTGGGGCTGTGGAATCTCTTTCAGCCCGAGGGCCAAATACAATTTTGGAGGCTCTCGCAGGGGCCGCATTCCAGCGAGGGCCGGACAAAGACGAGAAGGGTCGGGCCGAAGACAGGATGCAGTGGGGCTGGAATATCCGAAATCAAAGCCCCTTTTGGCATAAAGCCCCAACAGCCAGTAACTTAAGTCTTCGGAGAAACATTTTGCCCTTTTAGAATGGGAAGGCGAGCGCACAAAAGCCGGCAAACCGCAGCGACGGGGGAAAGGAGACGGGCCCCATCTGGGCCTTTGCAGGCAGGTCGTGGGCCTCAAGCTCTGGAAGAGGAAGGGCTCTTCTGTCAGTTCTGATTTTTTTAGCTGGTTCAGGGCAGGGGTGGGGGGCACTCTTTCGGATAGGTTTTCAGGTTCCGACATCTCCTTCCAAATTGTTAATCACCGAGCAAGCAGAAATTGGGAAGATCATTAACTGGCTGCTTGTGTTTTGTTTTATTTGGAGAATTTTCAGCGCTGCCTTCTCACCGCTATTGTGCCAGTCCGTCCTCCCTGGGGTGCCTTTTGTACTGTGAAGTGTCGCTGACCGAGGGGCGGGAGAGCTTGGAGTGCTTCTCTCTGTTGGAATCGGTCATCTGTTAACTTTCTGTCAGGCCACGTTCTGGGCTGTTGAGGGTCACTTGTCACAAATCTGCCTGCTGTCCTTGGGGTCCAAGGCTGTATACCTCAGCACCCCAGCTGGTGTGGGGAAGCATGCCTTCATGATTTTTTGGAGGCTGCCGTCAGGCAAGGGGCTGGCCGCTGTGGGGAAGCGTGGGGCTTCCATCTGAGTCGAGAGAGTTCTTTTTTTAGGGTTAGAATTTTCAATCCCTGTTACCCCGAACACACCGGCACCAAAGTAGGCTCCTCTAAAATGAGTAGGTGTGTTTTATTCCCGCCCAGTTAATCCAAGAAAGAGCAACTCAAGTACTCTGTTTCTTAGCTTTGGCAATCCTTCTTCCCTTTGTGTTTCTCCCCGCCCCCCACACCCAAGGTAATCAAAAAAATGATAGCGGAGACTTCCAGTGGTGGTGTGACCGCCAACGACGTCCTTATGCACTACTCGGTGCCAGCGTTGCCGTTTGGAGGGGTCGGTGAGTAGAAGGCTCCGGGGCAGGCTGGGGTTGCCTGGAACGGGACAAGGTGCTCCGTGGCAGCGTTTTTCAGGCGTGATTCTGGTTTGAATCCTGCCTCCGTCTCAGCAATGCCCTCCTCCTGCAGTCCGCCACTTGAGGACAATGCCGCTGGCTTAGTGTGCACGGCTGTTGCGAGAGTTGCCGAAACGAGGAACAGATAATGTACGTGAGATGCTGTGAGCTCAACCGCTTGCTCAATCCTTTCAAAATTTAGTTATAGCTTATGGCCAAATGAGCATACCCTCTCTCATTCACGCTAATTATTGTAAAAACCAGTTGTATTTGACAAGTTATCTGATGAAGATGATGGTGATAATAGTTTGAGGACTAGTAACTTGATTCTTCTGCATTGTTGCCTTTCTGTTTCACTTCTGTGAAGTCAAGGCCCATTAATGTAGTTATAGTTTATAACAATTTATCACCATAATTATTTGATCATGCTAACTACATCGGGAGTAGTCACCTATCTTTTCCCTCTTATGTCACTGCTTTTCTCTGGCTTCTGTGAGGTCAAGTTAGTCATCTTTATGAACAATTAATCTTCATCATCACTACTGAATAATCATGTTCATTGCTTGAGGACTAGTAACTTGCTTGCCCATCTGTTTTTCTTTCCCCTGCTGCTGCCTTTCACTCTTGCTGCTGTGTGGTCACATTAAACTGGCCCAGCAATATTTAATAACGATTTATCATCACGGTGCAGCTTTCTGAAGAACTGGCAGGCCTGTCTGCCCAGCTTTTCTCTCCAGCATCGCTGTTTTCCCCTTGGTTGATTGTGCAAGGTCCTGCCCTCGACCCGCCCCCCTTTTGCTCACCCCCTTGCTCTGTCGGCCCCCAGGTAACAGCGGGATGGGGGCCTACCACGGCTGGTACAGCTTCCGGACCTTCTCCCACCAGCGCTCCTGCCTCATCAGGGGCCTCAAGATGGAGGCCATGAACAGCATCCGCTACCCCCCCAACAGCCAGCGGAAGGTGGACTGGGCCAAGTTCTTCGTCCTGAAGCGGTTCAGCAAGCGTGCGTTCGGGATCATCGCGGTCGCCGTCCTGGGAATCCTGGTGGCCGTGGCGATCAAGGTGAGGGCTTCCTTCGGGGCTGGACTCGGCTCGCCTCGCTCGTCCCGGAGATGAGAGAGTCGGCAGCGAGCGAGCAGGGCCGAAGCCTGCTGGGGCGGATCCTGTCTTCCTCCCCGGAGCGCTGTAGAAATGGCGGGGAAGCCGCTCTGGAGGAGGCTTCCGGAGAAATGTCTTGGGAAGCCCTGGGCGTTCCCTGCAGAGATATTTCAACAGAGCCTGGGCAGGCCATTGCTCGGGGATGCTGTCCCTGCGCCTGAGGTTTAAGGCCCGGCTAGAGCAGGCAGTCGGACGAGACGGCCCCTGGGTTCTGAGGATGGACCTGCCGAAATGGCTGAGCTCATGCTGGCAGGAAGCAAAGCGAGGTAGGCTTGCGGAGGACTGGAATCCGCTTCGCGGTTTTTGCAAGGGGTGCCCAGAAGTCTGGAACCAGGGACCGGCGAGTTCTATTTTCCAAGAGTCTGACCTGGAAGTTCTTCAGTGGTCCAGCTTTTCCCAAGGGCAGGGGGTGGATTCCAGAGACTCTTTCTAAAGCTACACAAACTCTGTCATAGAAAATACGTAAAATAGAAAACCCAACCCAAAACTTCCTTTGATAAGCACGCATTCTGCGGGACATCCGTGTGTGCGGACGGATTTTCGCAAAAGCGGATTCCATCGGTGAGTGGACGATGGAACGAAACGCACCAAGCAATCCATAAATGCTGGAAGAACCTGCTTTGCAATCTGTTCCGGAGATTCCCTGACCCAGTACCCTGCAGACAGGGTGGACTACAACCTTTATCATCCCCAGGCAACCTGTGGGTGGCGCTTTACCCAGTCCGTGCGGTAGCTTTCAGCGGGTCTTCTCAGCTGTCTCTGAGCAGTTTTGGTTGCGGGACAGACGCATCGGCAGGGTGGAAGCGTTTCAGTGCGTTATCGCTTTCTAACACCCGGCAGAGTGAGCTGCTGGTGAACGGCGTGAGAGCACGGGCGGGCAGAGAAGCTGGCGATGCTGGAGCGGACCGCTGCCCTTCCTTGCAAAACGTGCTCCGACATTTGGGTGGGCGAGATTTTAGCTACGTCACCTTTCCCTTTGGTTGCCCCCAGGGCTGCTCAGCAGTGGGAAGGGCTTCATTCCTTGGCAGCCCAGGGAAAGCGGAGCCTTAGCTAAGAGCCAGTGAGACCCACATCAAAAGCCACGCGTTATTCGGGGCAGGTAGGACCCGCCTTTCCTTTCCTCAGCCCTTTGCTGCTCTGTCCTCATCCTTTCCTCTTGGGCCTGCAAGGGTGTCCGAGTCGCGTGCCTTCGATCTTTCTTGCCGCCACAGCCTTCCAAAATTTGGTGGCGCCAGGTTAGCCCTGCTGAAATTTCTCGCCTGCTTGGGACTGGCCGGGGGAGAGGTGAAGCGCCTTCCCCCGGCGGCTCGCTGGGTTTCTGTGCTGCGTGTGGAAGAAGGAAGCTCTGTGCCTGCTCAGCCAGCTTGCTGACTCACCTGCATGCAATTCTGGCTCCCCTGGGGCGAATTCCAATGCCTAATCAAAGACGTGGGACTGGTTTTGGGGGATCGGAATGCATGAAGTGCTTGCTCCGTTGGTGATCATCGGCTGTTGTGTGGGTGCCTTACCAGAAGATGAGTGTGTGGTGAGGTGCGGTTTGCGGTATTTTGTCGTACGTTTCCGTGATGGCTAACTAAACGAGGTGGATGGGATGCATCCCCCTCTGTCCAAGATCCGGAAGCATCTCTGCCAGGTGGCGCAGAGAGTGGTCCAGTGTTCTAACGCCGTGTGTGGCATCTTCCCACACTCCTGTTTAAATCAGCCCTGTCTCCAGAACCATGAGGACTGGGATCTTACTGTCTTTTAAACCAGAAGCGAAGCTGGCTTTGCACGCATTGGAACAGCCCTCAGTTTGCTACAGCAAAGGGTCCGTGCAGAGTTGCTCCACAGTTCCCCCTGCCCTGTGCAAATGAAGCCACGTCCCCAGGCACCCCTGGCCTTGGGGCGTCCTACAGTCTCAGGGCAGTGGGCAAGTGCATCTGGCACTCATCCCCATGGCCCCCACCTGCATGGGCTGCAAGATACCAGCTGGCCAGGAGCATCTGAAGTCGTTGTGCAGACTTCAGCCAGCCAGGTGCCTTTAAATTAATGCACTAACCACCCCTCTCCATAAGCCTGAGGGTGTCACCCTCGGGGGGCCCTTCGTATGGCTCGTGCGGGCTTTGCACTCTTAGTGCTGACGGATGGGCAGACACCCTCTTTTATTCCAGAAGGAAGGACGGCGGCTCTGAGCAGGGCACCTCTGTGCACGCCGGCATTCCGAGCATGCCTTCCTTTGCGTCCTCGACCCTCAGAGCAGGTGATGCTGGCCCAGGCGCCCGAATCCGTATACGGGATCTGCCATGTTGCATTCTTGCCGCCTTAAGCTGCCTCGTAAAATAAAATGCGGAAACGAACGCTCTGCGTTGAACTGCCGTTCAATTTTCTCTCTTCTAGGTCATTTTCTTCTGAAGGCAGAGGTCTCGAGATGCCGTGATGCAACGTGGTTTTATTCCGGAGAGAGGCGGGTGCTGTTTCTTGCATACATTTCCCAGAGTTTTACGATTGATTAACAATTCAGTGCACGAAAAGCAGATCGCCACCAGCTCTGCGCAGGCAGGAGATGGGAATCTGCGATTCTCTCTTCTGCTGAAAAGTACGGGGTGGCAGCGGTGGTGCTTTTGATAGGAGCGGTCCTTCCCAGCCCCCTGGAAAGGGCGTGATTTGAAACTGAGAAATTGGCAAGCACTGTTCTGGCTGCAGCTCCGTAAGGCTATTTCTCTGCTCCGGTAATTTTTTTTTTAAATGTGGTTACTGCACCCCATGGGAATAGCTGCTCCTAATCAAACACCTAAAGATTTTTCTTGGGAGTCTTCATATATATAAAAAAGGTTTCAAAGAAATCCCCCAATCTTACAAAGTTTTTACCAGCAAAACATTCCTCAACCTGACACCTTTTTGATATGTTGGACTACAGCTCCCATTGGTCCCAGCCAGTGGGGCCGTAGGTAAGGGTTGCCGTCTTTTGTTTTTAAGCGCTGCTGAGCTGTTAAAATTTGCAACCTCCCCCATCTCCAGGAAAGTATTTCCAGCTTTAAAAAAGCAAGTTCTACGCCCGTGTTTAAGGCATTCAATGAACTCATTCCAGCTGACTTTGCTCATGGTTCTGTGCTGGGCACCTGCCTGTCCGGTTGTTTGTCAAGGCGTGAATACGCTTAGACACGCCTTCGGTTCATGTGCTCTCCCACAGCCCCCTCCCCTCCTCTGGTGCAGCCCCAAGACCCTTCCTCACGTGGCTTTTCTGGAACACTAACTCCAGTTAATCTTAACTGTGTTCTTGTTTGAAACAAACCAGCTTCAAACCATGGATTGTTTCCCAGCCTATGAGCACTATCAAGTGCAGTGCCAGAAGGTTTGGCCTACAACCCCCATCGGCCCCGGCCAGCAAGGCCGGTGTTGATGGACCGTGGGAGCTGCTGGATGTTTTAGCCTCCAAGCTGCCAATTCCTTGGTTTAACATTCTGTCGAAATGGAACCTTCATTTCTGGTTAATTTGGTCCTCTTTTTTAAGGCACTTCTGCTCTTAGCCATTTTTCCTTTTAAAAATGCCGTCAGATACTTTTCCAGATAAAATCATTTAGACATGAAGAATTAAAAACTGACGTAAAAGTAGAATTATAACTAACAGATTTTATATTGAATGGTCACTTTCAGAGAACTAAATATGAATATATTGTATTGGAAATAAACATTTATTAATCCAAGAACATGAAGCTTTTATTGCTTGGCTGAGAGACCCAGCTTGGCTCTGCCAGGGTTTGCTTTCATGACTTTGTCCTTCCGATCATGGCTCTTCGCAGTTCCAGCGGGTGCCTAAAAAATTAGACAGGCAAGTCTCTCCTTTAGGAAACCTTTAAAGAGTTAAAAGGCTCATGCTGCAAAACCCACGCTTGGCACGTCTCCTCCAAGCTGCTCCTGGTTTTGGGCCAGTGAGTCCTGGGTTCAGTTCCCACCAACACCCACCCCTCGGCTTCCAGCGCCCCAGGCCTCCTGTGGTCCCATTTCCTTGCTTCAGGCCAAACTGGAGTGTTCTCCTCGTCGCCGCCAAGCCGGGCCCCTAAGCTCAAACGGTGAAGACGCGAACTGCCACTCCCACGGCCAGGATGCCCACAGCTGCCCCGACGGCCAGGCCCCGATGCAGGAGCAGCTCCTTGGTTGTCAGGACTCTGCCGACGGTCGAGCAGCCCGCTGTGCTTTCCTCCCGGTAGGTCGGCCCGCCCGTCTCGGTGAAGCTCACGAGCACGACTCCGTTCTGTGTGTCCGACGGTCCTGGCGTGCAGAGAAGAAAGAGTTGACGCCTGCTTAGCTCAGCGCGACTAGCTGTGGGGGCCGGCCTTCCCCAATGCAGCCGCCGCCAAACTCCGGAGAGTACCAGGTGCACGGAAGAATACGAAGCGGTCATAATACGATCCGAAGCCAAAGCAAAGACGGCGTAAGAACGCTTGCCTTGAACCCTGAATCCGGAGATGGCCTGTATTCTCCTATCAGTTGCTTCCGAGAAGCCTGCCATGGCCGCTTCCCGGCATGTGATATTGAAAGCTGTACTGCTCTTCTACGTGGAGGCTCTATTTATCTGCGCTGGCTGAAAGCCGATTCTGGGCACACTTGTGATTTTGGAGACGACCAAAAATAAAGCAGCCCAGGGACTGGAGCAATTTTCCCACGAGGAAAGGTTACCCTCTCCATGATGGTTTAGCTCAGAAAAGAGGCAAAGAAGCAGGGACAGGAGTGAGGTGTGAAGGTGTGAAAGTCGCTTCCTCAAGACGGTGCCAGGGCTGCCCACAACTCCGTGCGGGAGAAGGCTATCCAAGGCTTCTAGTCCTCATGGCCAGATGCGGCCTCCAGGATCGGAGACTGTTGTGGGGAAAACGGGCCGGAGGGTGGCTAGCACCCAGGCTCCCCTTGCAGGGTTCCCTGGGCCAGGGAGAACCAGGAGGGCTCTCCTCCCCTTCTGATGCTTCTCGTTTGAGGCCCAAATCGGTCGGATCTCCGACCGAGCGGCCTCGACTCCCTCGCTGTGTGATATTCGAAGCGAGACTTCCCACCCCCTTGGAAAGTCAGTTTTGCTGCAGTGACAGAAAGCTCATTTTGAGCTCTTATGGATTTGTCTCCGTTAATCCAACCTCCTCCAGCCCTGGACGCTCAAGATGATTAGCACTACAGCACCCAGCATCCCTGCCCATTGGGGCTGATGGGGGCTGTAGTCCCAAACAAACGAAGGACTCCAGGTTCGGGAAAGCGGCTTTCAATCTCGTAATGCGAGCTGCTGCACTTTGAAGGGCGACAAGGCGCAGAACCTCCGTGGCCCAACCCGCAGTTCGTACCAGAGGGCAGCACTATCTTCGGGGGTTCGGGAGTGGAGTTTGCATTCTCTGGCAGCTTCTGCATCAATCCTGCACGGTGCTGAGCCTGGCGGATAACAGAACATTTATTTTAGACCAGTTCCCCTTCTGGCACGGAGCTGCTTCCAACACTTTCCGAGTAGTTTTTAAAAATCGTCCTTTTTAAAAGTTAGCACGGATCACATTTTCTCCGCTATTACATGCCTCTTTGTTAAAAACACTGGTGTGGAGATGTTAGACTCCAATTCCCATCAGCCCCAGCACGGCCAGCCATGGTCCAACACACAAATGGTGGTTGATAGCTGGCTATACCTTATGTGTCAGAGCTGGTGTATTTGAAACACTTAGATCAATATTAGATGTTTGAGAAACTGACAATAAGTTTCTTTGAAGGGTTCAGCCCTTGTAAAGCACCCTACATAAAAATAAGCATTAATTATGATATCCCATTACAATTAAACACAAGCTTTAAAACCAGCCATATAAAACGATTCACGAGCCAACAGCAGACTCCTGCAAAACCAACACGCGCTATTAAAACCCACAGTTTAAAAATCCATTCCGCTATCTTAGTCTTTGCATCATTGCTAAGTTCTGCTTTGAATTTAACTTCAGTGTCATACTTTTAATCCTTTAAACTTGTCACACTCTATTTTACAAGTGTTTTACGGTGCTTCAGCTATCGGGCAGCTCTGTACAATATAAAGAATAAAACAGAACGACAAATAACTTTATATTTAAAAATTCAGCCCAGCAACCTGACATAAACATTTGGAATAGACGTGTTTTCAAGGCACATTGAAGAAACACTTGTGATGGAGCTGAAACTTGAGGAAATACTTATATTCTATACTATATACTTGAGGAAAGGTGTACCAGGGGTATTGGAGCCACCACCAAAAAGGTGCCCCCCAAACTTGCTCTGTGGCCAAATTAAAAAGCATACCTCAACAAGAACATCTTTTTATTTATTGGGATATTTTTATCCTGTCCATTACAGTTTGTCTCTGGACGGCTTACGATATAAAACACCTAATAAATGCATCAATCAACATCAAAAGAACACGACTGAGGATATCAATAAAATCATAATTAACATATGTAAACTTTAAAAGATTGGGTAAATAAAAAGGTCTTGACCTGGCGCCGAAAAGCATATAATGTCGGCACTAGGGGAACCGCTCTGGGGAGCACATTCCAGAGCCGGAGCGCCACCACAGAGAAGGCCCTCCTCCGGGTACTCTGTCCCCTAATATCTTTCACGGAGGGTTCCCGGAGCAGGACCTCTGCTGCAGATCTTGCGGGGCGGGAGGGCAAATAGGGAAAATGTTCTTCCAGGTATCCTGGTCCCAAGCCGTTCAGGGCTTTCTAGGTCATAACCAGCACCTTGAATTGAGCCCGGACTTCAGTGGGAAGCCGATGGAGCTGGCAGAGGACTGATGCTATATGGGAACAGCGGCCAGTCCCCGGCGGCAATATTTTGCACCGTCTTCTGAACGTGCTCCCCACCCCGCTATGAATGACGCCAGGCCCGCTTCGGCTTTCGCCCGGCGTGCTCTCCTTCGGCATCCCCGCCCTGGACCGGCGGGGCCTGTCCCTCACCTCCTCGGCCACCTTCTTCCAGTCCATCCGAGCGATGTAGGTGATGCAGCACACCCCAGGGATGACGGTGCAGGTCAGCATGCCCAGCCACAGGCCTGGGGGAGAACGGGAGGCAGCCCCGTGAGGGCGAAGCGAGGACTGGCTGCCCAGGTCCTCTCCGCCCCCCGCGCTTTCGAGTTCTCTGCCTGAAGGTTGCCACCTGCCTGGGAAACGATCGCCCGGCCTGCTCTGGTGCCTTCACCAGTCTCCCGACTGATCACACCTGGGTGAGATCAGAGCTGATGCTTCTGGGTGCACAGCGCTGCATCCCAGCACCTGTTAGATGCGTGCGGAGCAAATTCTGAAACGCTGGACGAGCAGGAGCCGGGGAGAAAGCAAAAACAGCCCCCGTGGTTTCCGGCAGGGTGCCACGCTTCCTGGCCACGTCTTCTGGAGCTCCCCACCCAAATGCCCGCCCCCCATCCCCTTACCTATCATCCCTATCCTGGCCACGAAAATCAGCACGATCCCCAGAGGCAGGCCCACGCCGTAGTATCCGATGGCGTTGAAGATGGCGCCGAGCTTTTGCTTCCCGGTCCCACGCAGGACTCCGCTGGTCGTGGCCTGCCCAGGGGAAAGGGTTACAGCCCGAGCCAGAAGGGGCCCTGCCTAACCCCGGTGTCGGCACCACACTTCCCAGCTGCCGGAGGAGCGGTGTGCGGGAAGAGCCGTGGGGCAGGGATCAGAACCGGGTGCACGCAGGCGCCTCTCCAGCACCGCAGCTCAGCTCCCGGGCGTGCCTGCCCGTTCAAGTCAAGCACAGGGACCGGCCTCGAGCCGGCAGCCGTTCCTTGTGCCGAACCCTGAGCCGACAAAGCTGGCTGCCATTTTCAGAGGGTGCAGTTTTGCAAAAGAAAAGGCTCGAGATGCCATGGCGGGCTATACAATAGGTTCACTGTCGCAGTGGCCGGGACGCCGCTCGCCTCCGTATTCTCTCCGTCTCTGACTTGGCCCGACCTGGCAAAGCGCTGCAGCGCCCCCTGGTGGCCCGATCAAGAAGGCACCTGTGCAAGTATTTGCAGGATCGGCACCCGATCGGTGGGGGCTCGCAGGATTAGGGCCAGACCCCTGGGCATCCAGTGGGCATTATAAAAAAAGTCAGCTCTGCCACAGCAACTCCACTCTTCCCGTCCCCGACGTTGCTTTTGCCCCGGTCACTTTACAGTTTGCACATTCTCAGGAGCACATCCAGGATGTTCCAGAGCTGACTCCTGGCCCGAAACAAGCTGGAAGGAAAGCACGGTGCCATTTCTGTACTCACACAAAGAGCTTCGAACAGGTGGAAGGCGATGTAGACGGGCATAACCCAGGCCACCAGCGTGATCACCTCTCTGTTTGCAGAAAGAGGCAAAGAAAAGAAGCTTCTCTAGCAGCACGATTGTGCCAAAGCCCAAGTGCCGGAGGGACAGCGACCTGCACGCGCTCCCCCAGGATTCACCCCGAAGCGGATTCCCTCACACTACAAGTCCATCAGCCCCAGCCGGGCTGGCCAAGAATGGTGGGAATTGCTGCCCAACACCTCTGAGGAGCCCCGGACGGGTAAGACTCCCCAAAGAGCTCTCATGAGAAAATGGAAATGATATTGTGGAATGCTAATTGTTGTCTTATTACAGTTCTGTCACACCCACGGGGCACTCTTGGTGGTTCTCCTCTCCACTGTATCCTCAGAACAACAACCCTGTGAGGGAGGTGAGGCCGAGAGGCAGCGATGCGTCCATGGCTGAGCGGGAACTCAAACTGGATCCCCCAAGTCCCTCTTCTAACCACTATACCACACTGCTCCCTTGAAACCCCTCCTGCCCCAAAGCACACTGGTTTCCCATTCAATATGGGTTCACTGCTCTGGGCATTACAGTTGATTGAACCACTCTGAAGTGCACTGCAGAGCCGATTATTGGTGACAACCAGAATAGGTTGCACGGTCTATCATGGCTGTCATAAGGAAATGAAGCCCATCGGCCAAAAAAGGAAGGGCATCTAGCAGTGTATCCAAAAAAGCAACAATGCCACAGGCTTCTACATCATAGAACTTGTTCCCACACTGCAGGGTCGCATAATAAGTTTTTGCTTTGATCTCCCCTCCCCTTTGTGTCCTTAGCAACAGGTTCAGGGGACTAAGTAGTTTCCTCAATGCCCACGGGATTGTGCTTTGCTGCTGCAGTTTCTTGTCCGGTCTGTTTTGTGCTGTTGTTAAGACATGAAGGGGAAGGGAGGCCCAGACAGGAATGGCATCTATATTTAGAATAATAAAACATGCCAGCCAGCTACGCCCTCCCCGATGAGACTCCATTCCGTTCTGTCTGGTCACTGAGCCTGTTCCTTCAGCATCGGGTTACTCACTCGTCGCTGGTGAAAACATACGCCAGGATGTCTTTTGTCGAACTCAGCACCACACACATCAGGAGGAAAAAACACACTGTGGGCAGAGAGGAAGAGGGAAATCTCAGTGCCGGGTCACGGAGAGCTGAGGGGGAAGCCCTCTTTTTAAAAGAAGTGTCATTCTTAGCACTGGCTTTTACAATTCTATCTTGTCCTGCAGGTTTGTGGTCTACGAAGACACAACACACAAGGAAAGAGCGATTGGAAGGGAAGAGGAAGAAGCGGTAAGAAATGGAGTGCAATTCCTTTGAGTCCTTTTGTGTTCTTTAGCCACGAGGTCAATGTTTGTGCCATTTTATGTGTGTGTCGTAAGAATATAAGCCCAGCCATGCTGGACGGGAGCAAAGGTCCATCTAGAGTAGCAGCTTGGGGCGGGGGGAAATTACAGCCCAAAAAAGTATGGGGGTGTTTGATGTAACCTCTCTCACAACTCAGTTCGTACTGCCTGTTTGCCTGGATTCTCGTTCGTTTGCGTGGTTTTCCGTGCCGCTGAAGGGCAGGTACCTGTGCACAGGATGCCGACCACAGAAGACTTCCGGGCGGCCTCGGTGTTGTTGGCTCCTAGGGCATTCCCAACCTGGACGCTGACGGCGGTACTGATCCCGTACGGAATCTGGAAAGGTGCAACGAGTCGGTAAGAATTGCGGGGGGGAGAAAACAGCCCTGTTTGCACCCCTGGCCAATGGGAGGGTGCTCAAACCTTCCCACCTTTCAGCCCCACAACCCAGTTTAATTTATTTATTTAAAACATTCATACCCCGCCCTATACGCCAAAGTGTCACGGGGCAGCTTACAAAAATCAAAGCAAACAATCCAGCAGTTAACAATCAATTTAAAAAGTACATAAAACCAACCATAACATTTCACAAATGCAAACAGAATCAAAACCAAAACCAAGAGCAGGATTGAAATCGAAATGCGACTGTGCAAAAGATTAAAACCAGATTAAAATTCCTGACATTTAAAATGGTGGGCAAATGAAAAGGTTTTCACCTGGCATGGAAATATCTCTGCCGCCAGCCCAGGTGAATTTTATGGGTTCTGCCCCTCCGTAAAACAGCGACCGGGGGCGATGCAACTTACCATATAGACCACCGTGGCCACCTCGTAGATGACGGATTGGGCCGACAGCTCGGTGACGCCCAGAAGACCTGAAAGGAGAGCAGGGTCTGAGCCAGGTGTCCCCTAGCTGGGCGAGGTGTCCCACACACCTTGGATTTTATTTATTTTTCGATTTATATCCTGCCTTTGTCCTCAAAGGGCTCAAGGCAGCTGACATCATTCTCCTCCTCCATCTTATCCCCAGAACAACAACCCTGTGAGGTAGGTTGGGCTGAGAGTCTGTGACTGGCCCAGAGTCACCCAGTGGGCTCCTTGGCTGAGTGAGGACTTGAACCCAGATTTTCTCAGTCCCACACTGGCCCATATTGCAATACCACCCCGCCGTCCGATACTCGGGAAGATACCTTATGTCCAGCCCAGTATCGTCTCAAGCAGAGGCCCTTTCCAGCTCTAACAAGAGATGGCACAAGCAAGCTCAGGCAAGATTCTAGACCTCATGGTTCTGAATAAAGCCTTGATTTATCCTAGTGGGAAGTGGCTTCAGACTGACCCAAGGCACCTGCAGTAAACTGCCCAGGGAGCTCTGGCTAAGTGGTGCTACAGAAATGAGACAATTATTAGGTACAATTATTGTATTATGTACAATTATGATGTGGTACAATTATTATGTAGCAGCAGCAGCCTTGGTCCAAAACACCCAGCTGGCTCCATGGCCGAGCGGGGACTCGAACCCGGATCGCCTGAGTCCCAGCCCCACGCTCTTCACCACGACGCCGCACTGGCTCTCACCACATTTTGGGCTACATGTGTGTTCTTCTCAAGAGCACTGGTAGGATCAAGGGCCATTTAAAAGAAAACACACGGTTTGATCTATTCGTAACATCAATACAGGTGCTCGGATCTGACCGCTGCGCCCAGGTGGAAGAATGGGAGGGGCCTGCTTTCTTGGCTCCGCCCCCTCCCTCGCCTTCCCACTCACCTATCAGGAAGCTTCCGATTTCGAAGGTCCACCATTCGATGCAAGTCATGAGCATGCTGGGCACTGCCAAGGCCATGAAGACGTTCCACTCTTGGAGGCAGTCGGTGGACCAGCCTTGGGCGCAAGCAAGAAAGGAGGGAAGTAGATCAGCCGCGCACGGAACCGGGAGGGACGTTGGAAGCGTGAGCAAAGAAAAACGGCTTGGGTCCTGGCTACCTGAAGGAGCGCTTACATCCATACATGCCCGCCTGCCCCTTGAGATCTGCGGGAGAGGCCCTTCTCCAGGAACCCTCCGTGAAGGAAATTAGGAGGGTAAGTACTCAGAGGAGGGCCTTCTCTGTGGTGGCGCCCAATCTGTGGAATGCGCTCCCCAGAGAGGTCCGCCTGGCGCCGTCATTATTTGTTTTTCGGCGCCAGGCAAAGACCTTTTTATTTAAACGTCATTTTAATTGTGAATATTATTTGCTTATTTTATCTGGCCAGGGCGACTTATCTTATATTGTTATTTTATATTGTTAATTTATTGTATATTTGAATATTTTATATTTTAATTTTATGTTGTGAGCCGCCCCGAGGCTTCGGCGAATGGGGCGGCATAGAAATGTTTTAAGTAAGTAAGTAAGTAAGAGCGTTACCTCCCCAGGTTTCCGCGTGCAGCTTCTTCCACCTGATGTACAGGAAGAGGGCGATGGCTTGGGAATACTGGGCGATGGTGTTCGCCCAGGCCGAGCCCCTGGAGGAGGCGAGCAGAAAGAAACAGGTCACTTGGGCAGAAGTGTATGAAAAAGGATCAGCGGGGTGGAAAGAGTGCCCAGGGGGAGAAGAGGGGGCCTAAGGTGCTTTGCCTTCCAGCCCCACCGGCCCTTTCCAGCCTGCACATCCCGAACATCTGCCGGCCACCGGCTCCGGCAAGGCCACTCCAGAATTTGAGAGGGCGGCCCAGGAAAACCAGAAACAGAAAAGCAGAATTCTATCAGGTTCTGGCAGGCATTGGGCATGGTTCAGACATGCTCTTAACCACGACGCCACACTGGCTCTCCCTTTTGGGCCTAGTTATGGGCTAGAGCATTGCCCAGAGACCACGAGGCCGTCTCTCAGCTGATGTCGGCTCAGCGACCGGGGGTGCTTCCTTCCCTCGAAAAATAACCCCCAAAGTGAGCAAAGCCGTAGAAACGTGACGGCGCTGCTGGAAAACGGGGAGCCCAGCTGAGGTTTGAGCAAACCAAGTTTCGCTGCAGGGCTTGCGAAGCGATTTGCTCCCGTTTTCTTTCCGGAGCGGCTCTTTAGTGCCTTTGGGCCCGGCCTTCTCCCAGAAGGATTAAGCAAGCATTAAAAACGGCTTTGCAAGCTATTCCTAGCAGGGTCCAAGCGAAGGGCAAAGCCAGCCGGTGGCTCCCTTAAAATACAGATTTCCCTCGCCGTTGGCTCACTTGACTCCCATGTGAAGCTCGTGCAGAAAGACGTAATTGGCAATCAAGTTGACGATGTTCCCCGCGATGCCGCAAAGGACCTCTGGCCAGATGATCCTCTGAAATGAAGACCTGGTTTTAGGGCGCACGTGATCCTATGCGTGTTTAGAGAGGAAAACACCCACAGCCGCCCCCAGCATCCCCAGAAAACACATCTGACTGCAATTCCCAGCATCCCCACACAAAAGCCCTCCAAACCCTGCTCAGCCTTCAAGAAAATGCCCTGTAGTCCCCAAACTTCGCACAAAAAAGCCCTACCACAACTCGCAGAATTCCAAGGAAAATAGTGCTAGTCTCCCAGCATTCCTTAGCCAGGGACTGGAGGAGGAGCAAAGGGGGAGGGGCCTTTGGTGGGCTCCCTCAGGACCAGACTGGGAACTGGATTTTGCCCCCGGGGCTGAGTTTCTGCCCCCCACCCACCCATGGGCCCCGAAAGGTGAAGGGAAGGAGCCACTCACCTGGTTCTGCAGGTATCTGGCCTGGATTTGGTAAATGAATGCAGCCTGTAGGACCAGAAGGTGTTACTGGGAGGACTGGGAGGGAGGGAAGCAAATTCATGACCGCAGCCCCCCCCCCGGCCCCTCACATTCCCCCTTTGCATTTTGCGGCATCTTTCTGCCAAGAAACACGCCAAGCCAGGCGGCTCACATCAGAAACAATGCTAGATTATATTCCTAATAAAACATGGTTTAAAAGGCAATTAAGCAGGAATAAAACAATGGATCCTTCCCGTGCACTTCAACCGGTTTAGTTTCAGCTCTGCTGATAACAGGCTGTGATGTCAGAGGGCTTTGCCTGTTGGATTTCAGCCTGCCAGTGTCGTGGCCTAAGAGCACAGGAGCTCAGCTGGGGAGGAAACCAGGAGCCCCCGGGTCTGGCCTTCATAAATTTAGCTTTTTAAATTGGAGCTTTTAATGGGCTTTTTGCTTTGGGCCTTTTCCTTGACCAGGTTGTGATGGGGAAATAGAGTGAGTCAGACGGGGCCTCGCGGCCATCTAGTCTGACCCTTGGTGATCTCACACACTTACCGGAAGTGCTGGGATAAAGATCATGACGTAGACCTGTGTGAGCCTGTCAAGAGAGAATGGGGGAGAGATGACCCTGGCGGAAGAATTTCACCTGTGCTGGGCCCACCTAGCGGCAGGAACGTCTGCCAGATTGAGTTTGTTTTCTGACATCGCTAAAATAGGCATTTTCAGAAAAGCTTGTATTTCTTGAACAGAAACTCCTGGCCAGAGCATGATTTTCAAAGCACCAGCATCCTATTCCATAAGCTTCCGACTGTCTTTTTAATGCAGACCGGGGAAAAGAGCGGCAGACGGCATGGAAACTTCATGTCAGCCCAGTCCACCAACAGTGAGTTATGCGTATTACTAATATACCTATGTCATTATTGTGAATGTTTTTGCCCTGACCTGCAGCCAAAAAACCCAGAATAAAACACCTAAATACAACACACAAATAAAACACAAATAAAAAACCCATGCATACAAACATGGCAGTCCTGGTCTTCAGGCTTACAATTGAACAAAAGATACAGCATAAGAGGACAAAGGGATGAGGAGGGTAGAGGAAAGCAAGGCAGCTCTAGCACGCATTCTGCTCAGAAGTGTGGCCTACCTGGAGACATCTGGGTCCTGCCTGATGAGTAAGAGGATCTGCTCGGTGTTGATGAAAATTGCCCAGCAGGGAAAGCAGGAGAGCAGCAGAATCAGGATACCCCGTTGGAGGATGGTTCCCACTCGTTTCATGTTCTTTCCACCATACGTCTGGGGAAAAGAGGCATGTTCCCATCCACAACCAGATGTCTCATGGTCAGAGATAAAAATCGGAGCGCCTTCCCCAGCCAGAATCTCCCAGGCTGCTGCAACCAACTTCTGAGACCTTTCTCTAGGACCAGCTCGAGGGAGGCAGGGAAGGAGAGTCCTACTCAGTGGTGGCCCCAAATCATGGGATGACTTCCCCACTGAGGCTTGCCGGGTACCAGCCGTACCGTCTTTTCAGCACCAGGCTAAGACTGTCTTCCACATTCAGGAATTTGACCTCCCTGTGATGAGCTATTTATGGCTCTCAGACCTTCCCGTTAGGGTTTTGAGTGCTTAAATAATTGTTCCGTTTTGTACCTCATAAGATATTACTGCTGTGATTTTTAATTTTTAGGGAACCAGAGAACTTTTGCTATAGGCGGTATAGAAATTAAGTAATACTGCTACTCTACAACTTCCTAGCAGAAGAGGAAGGCACTGAAGCCCCTCCAGCAAACAGAAAGGATTCCCTTTGTAGAAGGTTCCAGGGCAGCCTTCCCCAGAGGCTGGAGCCCCGGGTCTTTCATTTGGGCCCCCAAATCTTGCAGTCCGGGGCCATTTTTATTTTATTTATTTGTTTATCTTTCGATTTATATCCTGCCTTTTTCCTGCAAAGGGCTCAAGGCAGCTTACATCTCCTCCTCCATCTTATCCCCGCAACAACAACCCTGTGAGGTAGGCTGGGCTGAGAGTCTGTGCCTGGCCCAAAGTCACCCAGTGGGCTCCATGGCCGAGCAGGGACTCGAACCCAGGTCGTCTGAGTCCCAGTCCCACGCTCTTAACCACTACACCACTCTGGATCGCTGGATCCATTTGGATCTCTGACCCTGCAGAGGCCCACCTGGGCTTCCCCTCCTGCTCGGATCTCTCTTCCTGAAGGTCATTTTTGGGAATACAATGCCCCTTTCTATATATAAAACATCCCATTTTATATATAGGGTGCCCTTCGGAGATGGGTCCTTTAAAACCACGCGCAGACTTTTCCAGCATGTCTGAATTAGCCTCAGTCATGCTTGCAGTTCCTTTGCCCTGAGCCGGGGCCCCGGCCTTCCCCTCCAGCTGGTGCTCAGCAGGTGTCTGGATGACGGGAGAAAAGGACAGTCGCATCGCAAGGACAGCCCAATCTTGGGGTGTTTGGTGGAGATGCCAAGCGGAGGCTTGCAGAGGGGGAAAACGTCCGGTTGTGGCAAGGTCTGTTCGCGAAAGCAGCCCGCATTATTTCCCGTCCCTCAAATTGTAGGCGCAACATAATCGGCCAGAACCCACCTGGGATATCAACGTATCGCAGGCTGAAGACAACCCAAACCCAACAGAGATGCCCGTCACGTTGATAACCTGGGAAGCATCCGAAAGCGAGAACAGGTAAGGAAAATCAATTCTGCAAAAGAGAGCCCTTGTTTATCCTTGTATCCCTTCTTCAAAAATCTGTGTTTGCCTGTTGAACCCTGTCTTCCGCTGAGCTGCCCCAGACTTTCCTGGCCCCTGCAGCAACATCCGGGGATTATGAGTCTCGTTCTGCATTTATAGCCTGCTTTACTTCATCTTGGAAGGAATCCACAGCAGCCTGTACAATTCCCCTCTCCTGCATGTTCTCCTCACAACAGCCCTGCGAAGTAGGTTAAGCAGAAGGCAAGGACTGCCCCTAAGTCTCCCAGGGGCCTTCACACTCCAACCTGGATCTCCCGAGTCCCAGCCCAGCCCTCTTATCCAGTCCCCGCAGCTGCCTTTCCATTTCGGACGTTTCCGGGCTCCCCGAAGCAAAGCAACCTTGGGGCACCTAGGAGAGGAGCCCCAAATCTTTTCTAGGAGCCCCACATCTCTGGGTCCTCCTGCCAAGGTCCATGTGTTCGCTGAAATGAAGCACATGCCTTTGGGCACTGCAGAAATCCTAATCCTAATAAGACCTTTTTATTTCAACAATATTTTAATAACTTTTAAGATCATCTATAGGTTTTAATGTGCAGCCAGGGTGAATCTGGAGTTTATTTGTATTAGAAACATAGAAACAGAGCGAGTCAGAAGAGGTCTCCCGGGCCATCTAGTCTGACCTCCAGCACCAGCCAGCTCCGCTCACGACATGCCCACCATGTGGACATCCAGCCTGTCCTTGAGCACCCGCACCGATGGGGCCTCAACCACCTCTTGTGGAAGCGCAATCCACACCCTCGGGATCCTGACTGTCAGGAAGTGCTTCCTGGCATCCAAATGGGACCTTGGCTCCCTGAGCTTGGCTCCGTCGGAGCGCGTCCTGCCTTCCTCTGCAGGGGAGAACAGGTCTCTACCCACCTCCGTGTGACACCCCCTCACATACCTGTAGGTCCTGACTGGCAGGAAGTGCTTATGTTTATTTATTTTATGTAAGCCGTACCGAGGCTATGCAATGGGACGGCATACAAAAATTCTTAATTCTTAATTAATTAATGATATGGTCCGAGGGCATCCACCGGGCTGAAGCTAGGCAGGTCTGAGGCTGGCCAGAGCCTGGAGGGAGGGGAGACCCCCCCCCGGGAACGGCACGCGGCTGCCTCGATTCCACCATAGGAGAAAGGTAGGGTATCAATACCGTCCATAAATCAAACTGTGGCTGGATATTCGGTCCCTTTAAACTCCGAAAGAAATTTCCAAACCCTCAGCTGTAGCATGGCTCTCATGTTCTTGTAACCTTTATCTATAACATTCGTTTATTATTTTATTTCGTAGTTTGACGAGCTCGTTCTTTTAGCAGTACTATCTCACGGCATTCTGTGGCACTTTTATGTTATGCTGCGTTATGACCTATGGCCACAGCCATCGTCTGGTCTGAGTTGGTCGTCCCCTCTTGGAATTCCTCGGGGAGGCTTCTCGGAGAGCGGGAGCCGCTCCGGACCTGCCCCGCCGACACCGCACTTACCGCGATGGCGAGGGTGACGGAAGCCAGCTCAACCCTGCCGAGGTGGCCGCAGAAGATGGTGCTGACGACGTGGATCATGAACACCAACAGCTGGATGAGCGTCTGAGAGAGAGAGAGCGAGAGAGAAGCGCCGGCCGTGAGATTTACGGGGGGGAAGGTGACGCCGGGTGGCCTTCGAGCCTGCCACCCCAAGCGCCAGATCCCGAAACGCTGGCGTTCAGGCAGCTGGGGTCTTGGAGCACGTCAGCTCCCATCAGCCCCAGCCACAGAGCCAGTGGGCAGCGGTGCCGAGGGCTGTCACCCCGAACGACTGGAGAGGGGCCCGACCCTGTACCTCTCGCGCCCTTTGGTGGCACAACGAACGTACGTTTGGATGGAGGAAGCTTTGCTAAACCTGAGCGGCTAAATGGCTCCTCACCTGAGGTCTGGCGAGCATCTCTTAGCTTCGTGCTCTCTTACTGCTTTCTAACTCTTGGGAGCAACGTTTTAGTGAGAAGACCAGCCGTGGTGTCAGCGGGAGCCAGAGCAAAGAGGGAAAGGAATGAATTGCAGGCCGCCCAGGCTGGAAAGGGGCAGTTGGCTGCAGGGTCTCGCCTCACCCGTTGGCATATGGAAGGAGCCAGTGTTGCCTAGTGGTTAGCGCAGCAGAGTGGCGCTTGGAGGACCCAGGTGTGGGCCCCTCCTTGGCCAGGAAGGCCCCCCGGAGCCAGTTGCAGGGTCTCAGCTCAGCCGACCTCGCAGGGGCGTGCTGAGGGTGAAACGGAAAGGAAGGGGCTTCCGTGCCAGTAGCTCCGGGGAGGGTTAAAAGCGGCATATAAATACGAGGCCAGGAAAGAAATGACTTCAAGACTTACCAGTGGCCCTGCCAACAGCAAAATCTTCTTTGCCTCTGCCCAGAAGTAGGAAGGAAAGAATCGGCATAATTTCCGGCAGCCACGGGCCGCCGGCACCTGCGGATCCGCAGCCAGAGCCCCCGGCGGGGGCTTCTCCTGATTGGGGGTCCCGAGCTCCATCGATGGGAGAGCACCCTCTTCTTTTCCCAGCTGCTCTTCCTGGAGGGGTGTATGGAGCAACCCGGATGGGCTCGTCCGGCCCGAGAACACCTCTGCTCAGCTGCCGCGGGACGGATTTCAGCCGGCTCTGGGTAACCTCCTCTCACTCTCGCAATTTTGGGCAATGGGCGAGGACTAAAGTCTCTCCTGGGCCAATAGGGAGGAGGGCCAGCTGCTTGGGACGTCCATCTGAAGTTGCAGAGGCCAGAGGGAAGTTGGCTCGGAGGCCTGGGCTGCGTCCAAGACAAGCACCCGTGAAGTCAGGCAGCTGTGCCAGTCCCACCCACAAGAGCTACAGCTGAATGTGAGGGAAGAGGGACAGAAGACCAAGCACGGGCCATCCGGAAGGCGGATCCAGGTGCTCTACGCAGAATTTGGGGCAAGTTGCTAGCCCTCATGACAGCGGGTATCCGAGTGTCAGAAACTGCTTGTTCGGTTTCTGGGTTGCCTTCGACGTTATTTTGATAATCTTGTTGCTGGACTAGCGAATCATTACATATTCTTTCCCTCTCCCCTGTGCTGAATGGTATATTGTTAACTCCTTGAGGCAGGGACCTGTGTCGTCTATATCATACACAGTGAGGGGATGACCTAAATAACAAAGACCAGGTGCTCCGATATGTAACTTCATGGTTATCTGTGTCCAAGAGAGCTGTTGGGCGTGAAAAATAATCAGGAATCATCCAAAAGAACCATCTGCTAAAAAATTATTGTAACTACCACAAGACATGTTTTCCATGAGAATGGTAACCCTGACCCCCCCCCACACACACACACACTGCATGCTGTAAATTCATAACTAGAGCTGATTTATCTATACAGAAGGCGATGAGAGGAAGAAGCAGGGCTAGTTCACGAGCCCCAACCATAAACAAATAGGTTATGTTTTCCTCTACCCTCCTCATCCCATTTTCCTTGCATGTCACTCCTTTTCAAATTTCAGGGTTCTCCCAGTGGCATGTATGCCTTCTTGGCTGAGGAGCAGGATAAAAATGCTTCAAGTAAATAATAAATCCTCAAGCATGTACGTAAATCCAACTATCACTGCATATGAATGTACTTTTTGGCCTAATCTGTTAATCAGTGACCACATTCAAGGAATCAAAAAAGGCCAAAGGTAGTTCTTGACACCTATTCCTCATGGAGGCATAAGAAAGCCAGATTCCAAGACCTGTTTGGACCCACATACCTTTCCACCCAATGCATTTGTGTCCCTGGCATCCAGCCATAAACTCTGAAACTCAGAGTTCTGATCTGTTAATTATTTTTAATCAGGTCCTGAGTACCATCTGATCATCTTCCTAGAGGAGCCAAGGCTACCTGGGGCTACCTGGACTTTGACACACAGCATCTGCATGGATTTCACTCTTCTTCTCTTGACTGTCATCTGCAAAGAGTAATTTAATTTAATCTGGGATAGCAGCCTCATTGGGATGAGAGGATCTTTTGGAGAAATTTCTTTCTGGAAAACTGGGCATGTTGATGGATGTTGTCTGCATCCAAAAAGGCAGGCATTGATTGGGGGCTCAAGAGTACCAAGAATACGAGCGAACCTGGCCTTCGGTATTCTTTTCATAAGAGTGTTTCCCCTTTCCGACCCACCCTAGTCCGAACTCATTTCCCCTCCTACTCCGAACGGGGTACACGGCCTCAAGCCCAGGGATGAAATCTGTCCCACCCCCCCGTCCTTTAGCACCACCCTCTTCCCCCCAAGCACCAACCATCTGGTTGTGGGGTCACTTCTCTCGTCTGCCCCTTTTGGTCTTGTCCCCGCCGGCCACTAGAATGTGGCCCCAGAGAGCTCGGACATGAAGCGATTTGTTCCTTGCTGCTTCTTGGCATTCTTCTGGCATTTGTGTGTGTGACATTGCGGGGACGGTTGTGGAGTTAGGTGACCGGTACTGGGTTTCAAGGCACCTTTCGTCGTGATGTAATTCCACTTGTTCTGCTCTTGAAGTGAAGAAACCCGGCAGCAATCAGGGTGGATTTGTGTGTGTGTAAGACCTGGGAGTTCTGTTCCGATGTGTGATTTTGCTGGAAGAGGAATTCCTGGCTTTCTCTTCGCCGCGTTTCTTTCGCGCCACACTCCGGCTGGGGGATCGCAGGATGTTCTCTGCCAAAAACGAGCCCACCAGCCTGGCTTCCCCCCGCCTCTGATCGTCATGGCTGTGAAATATTGTTCTATAGAGATTTTCTGGCACCCTCCGTTTTATTTGGATATCGTAATTTGCAGATAGTGCCGCCCGTGTTCAGGGGAAAGGACGCGTGCCTTGTGCCGGATATTCCGGGCATCGAGCGGAGCTTTTCGAATGGGAACGTGGCACGGAAGGCCGGGAGCCCTTCCGAACACGAGCGGCAGGAGGGGGCCGAAATGCCGCAGGGGCTTATTCACGCCTGTGGCCGCCTAAAGGGCAGAGGTCCCGAAGGCTGTGAAGTCCAGAGTCTAAAATTACATAAGTGCCCATTTCCGCTGTGCAGCAAAACTGGGGCGGCTTTAGGAGACTTTAGGAAAACGGGAGCCGCTGCTGTCGGACTGCCATGACAGATGGAGGCACAGAATGCATTGTCCTCGCAGGAGGGGGGGACCCGACTTTCATTTAGGTGGGGCGCTTGATCTGGAAGGATTCTGGAATGTTTTCTTACTCCGTAAGGGGTTGGGCTCCCTGGGTTGCAGAAAGGTGAGGGAACTTGATCAGGGTGTATGAAATCATGCAAGCAGTGGAGAAAGTGGACAGGGAGAAAAATTCTCCCTTTCCACCACCCCCTTCCTCCTCCTCCACAGTTTTCTGGGAAGTTTTGCCCTTGCCTCCTAGAAAGAATGTAAGAACGCCCTAATTAAGAATGGGTGCTTTGCTTATTTGTGTCATTTTATGTGTGTGTGTTTATACCAATCCATAGCTTTGCTTTTGCCTTTCATTCCCCTCTGCCCACCCCATCCCCCTTTCCTCTGGTGTTTTTTTTAAAATTCAGCGGCAGAGTAGACTTAAATCGCTCTTGAAAATGAGGAAAGAAGAGAAGCCCGCAAAGATGGCTTGGCAGGACTGGGAGAAAGGAGATCTGTTTTTAATCGGCCGCAGAACAACAGGGGCAAACGCTCGGTGGTCATGTGCAACTCGCAAGAGGGAGAGCCAGAAGGGATATGGGGAGGTGGCGGCCCTGCCCTTTCGGGGAGCGGTTTGCATGCACACGTCCTGATCGAAGCAAAATGGGTCAACAAGACGACATCCTGGGAGAGGCAGGATGACCTTTCCCCTCCTGGGAACGGATCAAGGTCTGTGGCACGGTCTGGCACCCCTCAGGGAAGCGGAGGCGCCTTCCAGGGGTGGGTGGAGCCTAAGGCAACGTGGGCAGGGCCAAAACCACCACGGGCAACCCCTCCTGGCTTAGCGGTCTTAATTTTGAGCACCAATGTTGGTTTAAGTGAGAAATCGGAGCATGTAAGGGCACGGCAGAGCCCGGCTGGATCTGGCCCGGCCTGCGTCTTTGCAAGAGCATCCTCCTGGCCATGTTCCCCAGCAAGAGAGGCCCATGGGCACATGGCCCCCGGTTTTGGAGGTGGCCTTGAAACGCTGGCAATCGCAGCCCTCGAGGGGGGCCCCTTTTCGACTTGAGAGCCGGCGCGGTGGCGGTTGTGTGACTTGCATGGCCGAGCGATGCAATGCGAGGTCGAAATCCACCGGGCTGAAAAGCACCATGTGCTTACGCAATGCAAGAGCAGAGTGCAATCCTAGACGCATTTACTCGAGGGAGAGCGGTGGTTACGTAACGCTCGCCTTGCACAGCCTCGGGGAGGCCAAGCAGCCTCTGAGGAGACCCCCGGCCTCGATGCGTCGCTGTCGGCGTCCTGCCGGATCGGGGCCGGGGGACGCTGGGAGGGGCGGGTGACACCCTGCCCGGATTCAGGCAACAGACGCGGTTGAGGCGGGTGGTCACGGACCCGCGTGTCGCGCATGTGGCCGGAACCGCTGCTCCCCGTGCGCAGCCCGTCCGTGGGCGGAGGCCCCTTTGGCGCGGCCGTTGCGGGGAGGAGGGCCGCGGGGGCGTTGGCAGCAGCCCAGCAGGAGGCCAGGCGGGGGGGCGAGGGGTCGGTGGGGGGGCCCGGGGGCCGGCGGAGCGGGATCCAGCCAGGGAAGCGGGTCCAGCGGAAGGCGGTGCGCGCACGCGGGCGGGCGGTG